AAAGCCGGTGGGTGCTTTAACCAGTCTGCGACCGATCATCCTCCTGACAACTCTACGCAAAGTCATGTCGCTGGTAGTCCTCAAGCGCATCTCGCCAGCCGTAAACGATTTCCTATCACTGAACCAAAGTGGTTTTCGTGCAGGAAGGTCAACAGCTGATGTGGTCTGGTGCCATCGGTGGTTAGCAGCTACGACCCAGCGGTACCACTGGTCATTCAGCATACTGGGCATCGACATGTCACGTGCCTTTGACACGATCAGGCGAGGACAGTTGATGGACGTGGTTCAGCGATTCTTGGAAGAAGACGAGGTACGCTTGATCCGTTACCTGATCTCAGATACGAATTTGGCAGTCAGACTGGGCACGGAAACATCAAGCTCTTTCTCCACTAACATTGGTACCCCGCAAGGCGACTCCTTGTCGCCAATTCTATTCGTGATCTACCTGGAAGCTGCCCTGCAGGATGTGCGACAGCGAATGGCTGCACCTGTGGCCCGGCATCTTCCGTACGATGTGGAGTACGCCGATGATGTGGACTTCATCAGTATCTCTAGTGATTGGCTTCGGATGTTAGAGCCACAAGTTGCCACCATCTTGGGTACATGGTCCCTTACCGTCAACCAGACCAAGACAGAATTCACAGCCATCCAGCGAGAGGCCGATCGTGCTGATGAGCCATGGCGTATGGTCAAGAAACTCGGCTCTCTCCTTGGTGATGCAGAGGATGTCACCCGCAGAAAGCAGCTTGCGGCGATAGCGTTTAAGTCCCTCTGCCAGTTATGGAAGAGAAGAGACCAAGTGAGTCTGGAGGTGCGCGTCCGGCTGTATAACTGCTTCGTGTTACCTGTCTTGCTTTACAACTGCTCCACATGGGGCATCACTCGACATACAATTGAAGCGCTGGAATCGTATCATCGGCGGCAACTTCGGCATATCTTGGGTATCAGGTGGCCCAACCGACTGTCGAACGATTTGGTTTACGAGCGCTGCAGTGCTGCTCCACTTGGCAACATTCTGGTGAATGCAAGATGGCGGTTGTTTGGCCACATCCTGCGATCAGATGAGCACACACCGGCAAGGGAGGCCATGAGTGGATTCTTTGGCTGCTCCGTGCCGGGATACCGTGGGCGGCCGCGGATCACGCTACCAGTCCTGCTGAATCAAGACGCGGAGCGAGTCGGCTGCCGTCTGAGGACTCCAGGGGACTTGCAGCTGATGGCTCAGCGAGCACTGGATCGCCGTGAATGGACATATCTGTGCAACGCAGTTACAGATGCGTACAAGGCAGAGTACTGGTGAAGGAAGTTGGCACTGCAATGGTTTGAGCTACATTCTTTGTTGTTGGTACTCTGATTATCCGTATTATCCGTATTCACATGGCCTTTGCCATTCATTCAGTATATTAATGTCATCAATAATGATATTCTTGTTTGTATTAGTTTATGTGACACCATTTTCTATTTTTCTTTGCCTGCCTGCCTGCTGGTGGCCTTTTTTCGCATGGTTCGGTGCAAGCGAATTTGGGCGAGCCCATTGACGCGGGAGCACAAATAATAATAATAATAATAATAATATTCAGTTCATGAGCAGCAGGGTCGTTGCCTAATATTCTTCCAGTCATTGCACAGATATATTATCCACATCCTGACTTAGAGATGCAAATGCGTTGCCAACAGTGACACTAAACTTCGCAGCTTGCGTCTCGGGCGGCGAGTCACGCTGATAGCCCCGTGATTTCTGGCCTGGAGTCCGGGCCGGTGCTCCACAGGTGTCATCTAGGATATCACAATCCACGCCGTATCCGCTCTTACTGTCGTCCATGCGGCTGCTGCTGCTGTTGGTGGTCGTGGTGCTGCTCTGCCCTGTTTGTTGATCTCCACTGGCATCAGACTGTGTGTACTTATCGAAGTTCCACTCTCTTGTGTACACAGGCCTTGGCCAGAAGCGCTTGTTGCTGAGAAACGATTCGTCCGCTGCACTGGCAACAATACGCGCAGTGGAGGATTTTCCTCTTTGAAATATGTTGCTTTATTAGAGAGTTGGTGATACGTAAATAGGATCCTGAGCTCCGTACAAAGAAGTAAATTTGTTGTGTTCGCAATTGCCTGGTGTTACTCCTCCTAGAGGCGTTGGATAGTTTGCAGACTACGTGGTTGTCTATTTCGAAATTTGTCTGAATTGATGAAATGACCACTTTGCCACAAGTGTAGTTATGTTGATCTTAACGCTATCGGTTGTTTAGTTGGTAATTTTGTTGATGGCACAGTCTTTTCCCACTTGAGCCATTCCGTGCACTATCATTTAAGCGAAGGGAACAAATACATATAGGTACGTACCCTAACGAGCCCTGTTGACCTGACAGGAGGTGGAACAATGCGAGAATCCTTATGGACCGGCATGTACCTTCATTTGGATACTATCGTAAACCTCCCAACGATCTCTGTTACGAATCAGAAGAATAATTCCTTTTTACTTGTTACACGGAGTTAGAAAGCGGGATATGAGTCAAGTTGGTATAGACCCAGGAAACTTCGTAAACATGGCAAGCGATGCGGTGCCGCCCTAACTGAAACCCAATCTAATAGATTGCATAAATAGCTTGGAAATAACACAGCCTCTCAACTGAGAAGAGCCTTGTTTTATAGCACAAATTGATAGAGAGAAAACCAATGAGAATGTGAGAAGAACCGAAATGTCAAGTAGGAAGGAAGTGTGAATACTGTCTTCATGAGAGAGGGGTGTGAAATGCATGCAATAAAGTGTTAGGTAAAGGTGAGAACTATCACACTACTCCCCTTCCATTCAATTTAGTTCTGACGATACTGCCTCAATGGCAAGATTGGTGATCCAGATTCACCCATCAAATAGGTTGCAGGCTCCCAGGTCGGCTCATCGTAACCCGTCCATTTTACCAAGTACTGCTGCTTTCGACGGTGAATTCGATGAGAAGCCACTTCTTCGACAATGAAACGCTCATTGCCATCAAGGTCAATCACAGGTGGTGGAGCTGGTGACTTAGGATTGAGCTCATCACTAACGAACAATTTCAATTCAGCGTTGAACACCATACAAACGGGACTGCTTTCCAGTAAGTGCTTCCAAAGGCCGTGCAATTGATGCATATTCCAATGAATCGCCGGAAATATTTGGCGAAACCCAGGAATCGACGGATTTCAGAAACAGACTGTGGTGGCAACCACTCGTCAACACCTTGCAGCTTCTCCGGATCAGGACCTATTGTCTCTCCAGAGATGATGTGTCCAAGGAACTTCATCGACAGAGCCGCAAATTCGCACTTGGCACGCTTGCAATACAGTTGAGCTTCTTCCAGTGCGGACAGAACACTGTCGAGATGCTTTAGATGCTCGGTCCACGTCCTGCTGAACACGAGAATGTCGTCCAGGAAGACTACAACGCACTTCCGTAGGAATAGACGGAGGACATCGTTCATCAGGCCCATGAATGTTGCTGGTGCATTTGTCAAGCCGAACCCCATCACATGGAACTGGTACTGGCTGAACGGGGTGTTGATTGCGGTCTTTGTATATGAGCCGCAATCAGCGAAAACGACCCTTAGAGGTTTCCTAATTTTTTCGAGAAAATGGTCGATTTGTGACGTTCAACGATTTTTTGACCGCGCTGTGAACAGCACGATGACTTCTTGAACTCCTTGCTTGATTTATTTTGAACTTAAAGTGGTGTCGAGTGGCGACTCCAGTGTTCCTTGATCTTGTTGCGATGGCTGCGGACGCCAGCGCTGTCGGAAGATCGGAAGAGTCGGAAGATGAGGAGCCGTCACCTGAGATAAATTCTGATTCTGGGGCTAGTGACGGCAGCGACGTCGTGTCTTCAGCTGCGGAGGAAGAAATGGAAGACGAGATTGCGGAATGACTCCACGCAGGATGCAGGTGCGAATATGTCGATCATTTCTCCGCGCTCATCAGCTATTCTTTGTCATCATAGCTGCTTCCTGTACTATTTCAAAGGTATTCAAGCAGCCCACCCACCTTCGAATGGTGAATATTCATTGTACACATACATCGTATACATACATTGCACCAATTTGGAGTATATCTTGTATATTGGTGTATACACCCGTTTTGAATCGGAATATTGAATTTTTTCTTGGCTGAGGTCCTTCAGTAGATGTGTTTCAACAAATTTCTAACCAAAAAGGAATTTTGAAAATTTTGACCCTAAGGGCTGTTTTCGCTGGTTGAGGCCCATGTCTTGCTTTCTAACTCTGACTTGGTGATAACTCGACATTAGGTCCAGCTTTGAAAAATACTTTGCTCCACGTATGGTATCAAATAGATCGTCGATATTCGGCAGACAGGCTTGCATCTTCACCGGTTGTGGTTCATTTGTGTGCGGGCACCGTCATTATTGAAATACCATACTGAAGGCAGCGTGTACATGTAGTTGAAGATGGATCACGTGATTGTCCGGTATGGATCACTTGATTGTCTTGTATAGATACCTTGATTGTCCTGTACGATTGTTGAACTTCTAACACTAGAACAAAAGGAATTGTATTCATAAATAGATGAACGGAAGTAGCTTTTTGATATGTACTCCATAAGACCGAAGGAAGGTACACAAATTCGTTTGCGCGCCCACCCCTTCCCTTCCAGAGTCATACTTCTTCCCTTCATTGATGGTCTCCCCATATTCTCATACGTATATAGGGCTGTGTTCCCAGTAAAAAAAACCAACAGTCCTCTCTTTATAAGGACCGTTATCTTGACATTCCCAGCCCTTTGGTACTCTCTGCTTTCCTTTTGTCCTTCTGGCCAGACTGCAATTGTCACTATTGGCAACAGACTATTTTTCGTTCATGCTACGGTTATAGCTTTGTTACAGTGCATTATTTAGTGTACGAGTAACTATATAGTGTAGACCCTTTGGAAGACCGCGGACTCCCCATGTTGCAACGGAATAGCGAGACACTGAACTTTAACAACCATTGGTGTAGTTTATAATTATTATTACGTGAGAGTAGAGTAAGTGTCTCCAGCTATGAGCGATAAGAAGAGGCGTGAAAAAGCGTACATGTTGCAAGCAGGGTAGGCAAGAAAAAATTATTACAAGCATTCACAATGTATAAAAAGATAGCGTGGTAGCGTGATATCAGAAAATTATTAGGCCTTAGATATCATAGAGGCTAAAGGTAGTCATACACAAGAGAAGATGTGGCTGCATTTTGTCTTACTGCTCTTGAAAAGTACTAAATAAGTCCCGCATAAAAAGAACAGCAAATGATTTTCACTAAACCTCCAGTAAGTGGCACATTGATTGTATTCGACAATTTAGAATGTCCAATTGGCGACTTTCAAGGACAATCTGGTTGGTATCAGTCCTCGAGCACAGCATGCTCGGCGGCAGTTGGTAAAATATGCTGTATTATGCCACCTACTTTCAACGCACAGCTTTGCAAGAAGGGCACAGAGCTGCCCGTTTTTGTGCACTCTTTTCCAAACCTGTCGGCGTCTTCTGTCAAGTGCTGCGATCCGAACGTGTCCATTCTATGCTGCCCTTCTTAGTGAAAATATGACAGAAAATCGTACAGTCCATGTGTAACGGCTTGGAGGTTTAGTGCAACAGATCCCCGGGCTGCTATGGGGCTACAAATTCTAACAAGAAAGCTAAATGTATTGAAATAGTAAGTAAGCAGTCGGCAAACAGCGCCTTTTTCTCTTATCCGAAATTTTGCTCATTCCAACGGACGATAGGCTGTATGGAAAGAATATGCAAAATAGTGGTAAGTGCTCCAGATGCAGAAAACGTAGAAGAGAAGAGGAAAAAGTATAGAAAGCATGTATGGCTAACTCTGGCACATTGTTTCGTACTGGGGCTCTTGGTTTGTTTCCACTGCAGTTGAGGTCATCTCGTAAGCATCATTTTCTGTCAATTTGCTCGTAAAAACCGTTGGTGGTTCGTTGCTGCTTGCCGTTGTGATCTTAGATGGGCCTCTGCGTCGCGCTTGATAAACTATCATAAAAGTGCCAGGAATAATCAAGCCGACAAGAAACCCAATAGCTCCTGCAACAATGGTGGATGTTGTGGTCTGTTGCTCTGCAGAGTAAAATCAAGACAGCATATTCACATGGAACATACCATAACACATTTGTATCATGGAAGACAAATCCGTTCTGGAAACGTTTCCCCTACCGATTATGGCATTCTTCACCTTCCCCACTTTTGTGGTTGCACCTCACAAAATGGAGGGAGATTAACCCAAGCAGCCACTGGCGTTCAGCATCAAGCTTTTTGCCCTGATACGACTTGTTGATAGCTCTAGTTCCCAGAAACAACTGCAATCGCCGTACCAAACTGAATAACAATAACTCAATATTCAAACAATCATTCTTGACTAGAGCTAAAATTTCAAAGGATACATTTTGGTACACCCATAACAATTGGACTGACTTTTTATCTCCTTTAGATCGGCTTTCGGGCATCTTTGTAGTGCAGTAGTGCATTGGCTTGTTGTCCCACCGAAGTACAATGAATTCAATACAGTGCAATACTGACTTGAACACGGAATGCAAATGTCATCGATGAAATCATGCCTTAGAAACCAGGAAGGGTTGGGCCAATCCGGCTCTTAGATTAAGCCATATTTGAGTACCACCCATTTTAACTTTGGTGAACAGTCGCTTCGGAGACAGCAGCTTTAATGTGGCAATCAAGACAACTACCTGTGCCGTAATCATGCTTTATAAGAATAGTAATAAACATGAAAGAGAAATGATAGTGTTTTATTTTTTATTTATTTTCATTGTATTTCACTGTCCAACGGCAGAAGCCAATGCAAAGGAGGGGGCATTAGCCAGCCATGGCAAGAGAAGAAAAATAAAGAAAGAAGGAACGAATATGATAATAGGAAGAAAAGAATGCATCAGCGGGGTGACATTTATCACTATGTTGACCATGGTGGAGAGCAGTGAGATAAGCTAGCACAAGAGGCGAGCGGGCCTACAACGTTGCATGACATTTAACCTGGTCTATGAACTGTATGATATTGGATATTATCTTCATTTCCATGGGCAGCTTGAGCCAATGCGAATATGCAGAAAGATTTGGTAAACATAGTTTACAAAGCTCTGGGAAGTACTATGCCTTTGCGAGTGCCCCGTGCGAAAGTAAAGCAATTATACTAGCTGAGATGTTCAGGGACAATGTTCAGTTTAATACGATGGACCAGAACGCATGACTGTCTTTGCGACAGGATAGAGATGGGGCTGGTGGAGGTCCAACTATAGATAAGTAGAGGGGAATAGAGAGGGTTTACGAAAGATGTTTTTCAACACACCCTTATGATGTATTTCTAGTGCCTGTACAGCAGATTTACTAAACAGGGAATGCCAAGCAGTGGCGCTGTAGGGGAAGATAGGAAGAAGGTAGCATTTGTAAAAGAGACGACAAGTGACAAGTGGGAGCAGTGAGACATCAGGCAACCTACAGGCTGACTTGGTTGCATACAAAATCTACGCGAGAATTTCAGGACAATTGCGAGTCAAATACAACACCCAAATGCCTGTGCGTATCTACAATGTTAATAGCCGAATCAAGTCCGGGAAGGGTGAATGTGGGAGGGTGGTCTAGATGAGTGAGAAAGACTATTTCGGTCTTCAAGATATTGGGTTTCAGACTCCATGACAACATCCATTTATGAACAATATTGATTCCATTCTGAAGCTTGGTACACAGGTTTTCAATGTCAGTATCAAACTGAATGAGGGCTATTTCATCAGCAAATAGTGGCAAACCATCTATACAGTGAGGTAGATCATTTATAAACAACAAGAATAGTAGAGGCCCCAGTATAGATCCCTGAGGGACTCCCGACTTCACAGGCAGTGGGTCTGAGAGTACCCCTTCGACTGACACTGATTGCGTTCTATCTGTTAGGTAGTACGTAATCCATGCCAGAGATGCTCCGGAAACCTTGTTCATCGCACATAATTTAGCTAGGAGTCCACGGAACCATACAGTGTCAAACGCCTTTGGAAGGCCGAAAAACACATACCAACATGTTGGAGGTCATGATGAAGGGCCACAATGTCCTTTACAAGGCGTGTCAGCTGCATGGTGGTTGAGTCTCCTCGTCGAAAACCAGATTGGACTGGGGCAAGGGCCGGCGACATAATGAGCATAAAGGTTATCAAAGAATAATCACTTACATAGTTTCGATACACAGGACAACAAGGAGGTAGGACGGGAATTGCTGGCTTGTGACTTGGAGCCTTTGCTCTTGTAAACTGGAACAACCTTCGCGAGTTTCCATGCTGCTGGAAATTTACCCGTCGAGCAGGACACATAAAAAAATACAGCAGAGGGGAGGGGGTACGATATCGACGGGGCAAGTTTCTTAAGTACATCATTCGTAATAGTGTCCAAGCCAGGACTGCTGCGAGACTTTAGTCGGGCGATAGCTTTTCTAACATCCACAGTTGTGGTGATGACCTGAACAAATGTTTCATGAAGTTGGCTGTGGGCACGAAGAGCTGGAAGTGATAGCGACGGATCATCTGGCACAGCAACGGAGGCGAACTGCTGGTTGAGGACAGTAGCCTTGTCGAATCTGCCAGAAAATGGATGACCGTCTTGATCAGTGAAGTGAGAAAGGCCACAATCCTGCTGACGATTCCGCTGAGAACGAACAAACTGGTACATGTTAAGGTTCCCTAACATCCTGCTGGCCTGTATAGATGCGTTTGAAATGTACATGTAAAAGGAGAAGTTCGGAATCGTTTTCTGGTTACGATCTCCATCTTCAACGCTTGGTTGTGGAGACAATAGAAGATACGGAAAAAATAAAGACAAGCCAAGTGCAGAAATCTAGGTTGGGACAAAAGACGTTCAGCAAATACCCTAACCAAGGACCATGCCGTTTGCTCTTTCCACTTCCTGGATGATGGATGTAATGATTGCTGACGACTTCCTTATCTCTCGTAACATATTCTGAAGCGAGGTGAGATGACGGATGATGGATATTCATGAACAACAAAATGTTGTACTTTTCTGAAAGTTTGCCGAGTATTTCTCCATAGAGATGGCGAATGGCCAAGGTCAGCCCCTGGAAATGCAAGAGAGTGCCGATAGACAATCCATAGCACTAACAACATTGAACCCACCACTTCTTTCGCATAGTGCAAAAATAAGACTGGAAATTAACAAAACTCTGCAGTAATCGGCCTTCCCCCTGGCGGAGCTAAGCCAATTGTACGTCATCCTTGTGCTGGTCTTTATGGCGATGTATGTCATACAGTACCCAAATTGGCGAGTTAGGTTTATCTTATCCAGGCAAGAGAAATGCCGTTTGAACCTATATTAAAGAGTAGGCGTGGGGAAAGCAGTTTATGAGTGCAATAAAGAGTATAATAGAAGCAGACATGGCCAGACAACAACGGGTTTATGGAGTTCAAAGGATTTTTATTATTCAAAATCGATTTTTGTGTTCCGCTCTTCAATGAACTTTTTGAGGGTGAGGCGGAGGAGGTGGAAGGAAAGGAGCGGGTTGAGACGGAAGAGAGCGACGTAAGCAATAATGTCAGCTGTATTTTGTCACTTGTTAGCACGTCCAGATTGTCTTAGTGTGCACGATGATTCTTGCTTTTCTGTTTTGTGCCGTGCAAGTTATGCTAAGCAATTGAGGGTTCTGGAGGCTGTTTGTATTCGTGTAAATAATACTGTTCTTTGTAAACAAAAGAAGCATGTAGTTGCGTTAAAGTTGTTGTCATAGCTGGTTATCAGATGTAAACTTCGTGGTATGTTGCACTGTATCACCTTCTGCGTTGGGTGTGGGCTCAGTTAGTATATATTTTAGCACTGTTGCTATTATGTAATGTTGTAGCACTTCCTTTTTTCACACATTTAATTATGCAAACTTAGAAGTTGCGGCTTGGGCGGTATTAGTAATGAAGTTGGTTGCTCCAACGAGGAGCACATGCTTCTTGCCGAACTTGACACTTGAATGACTCATGACTGCCATCCAGAGCACACGAGGAGCACGTCGCACCTTCCGCTCGGCAAACCTGAAAGAAAGCACCACTCCCAGCTCAGTCCACAGTGTTTTGGGGATTTAACCCTCATCAGTTGAGCTTGAGTAGGCTGAGGAAGATTGTGCCTGAAAAGCACCACTTATATACTGCTCCCTAGGCCAAACCATCACCAGGGATACAAACTTACAGAGACGTTTTGTTTCCAGCGCGAAAACACAAGCACCATAATATCAAGTTCACTTACAAAAGCAGTGAAAATGGACCTTTTCCATTAATTTTTTTGATTCGCACGTTGGGGTTACCCCTTACCGCAACATTACAAACCGCCTGTGCAGGAAGCCTAATGACAGTGGCGTCAACGTGAACTTCCATTCCCAAGTGCCTCGCTCCGTCAAGTATGCGGTCGATAAGCAGCACTTCGTCACAGCTCGAAAGATTTCGTCCCCGTGGGCACAAGCATGTGAGAGTCTCGGTATGATAAAGAGATTGCTGCAAAACAACAACTATCCCTAGGCAATCACAGAAGAGATTGTCGGAAAGGTTGCCACACTGCCCAACGACGTCAGGCACACATCAAAAAAAGATTCCGCTATACTTCAGCTACCCTTTCGCACAGAGGACATTCAGCGGAAGGCGAAGCGTTTAGTTGAGCGCTCAGGGTTCCCGGTCAATGTTGTGCCTGAACGCACTCGTGAAGGATTCCCTCGTGAAGTCAGCGCTGAATAAAACAAATTGCAGGGTGACACTACTTGTAGAACGAGTCACGCGTCCTGAACAGGGGAGGCGAGGAAGACCGCTCAACGCCTGCATCTCGTGCTCCTATCCAGAAGCTTGGAACCATTAAGAGCAAGGATGTGATTTCTACTGGGGCCAAAGGCTGTGGAAACACGGATGGCCAAAAGAAAAATCAGGGATTCCATCGAGATTCGAGAGCGTCCTTCTGAAATCAATATCTCATTCGGATGGCCATTGAAGACGCTAGCACCCTCACAAAGAAACTTGCTGTGTCTTCACAGGTTTGTACACACAGTAATTGAGATGTGCACCTTCGTACACACATTTCCCGCGATTTTTCTGCTGAGCTGCTCCATACCAACTCTTTCAGCACACTTCTCCGTGTCTGTTGTCCATGCAAATTCATTCCCTCAATTTCATACGGCTATTGTGTGCTTCGTTTCTTTTGTACATGGAATTACATACGCTCATGCTTGCTTTCATTTTACTTGTAAACGGCCAGGTCCGCCCCTTGTTAATTGTTCTGACGATGGGTGACTGGCCAAGGTATGTATGCAGGTGGATCTCTCCAATTTCGCTCAAATTTTGCAGGTAGGTTCCCTTTGGGGTGTGGATCGATTGTGCAAAGCCCTTGAAAAAGTTTCCGAACGGAACCTTGAAATTTGTATACCCTCAAAAATGGCCGAAATATCACATCATTTATCGGTCTAGAAACGAGTCACGCCACAGCGTATCCGAACAAGCTAAGAACAAAACTCCATCACGCCAACATTGAACGCCCGTTGGTCTGGAAGTGATCACACGTACGTGTGTTGTTACTGCGCTCAAGAACACGCTGACCGTGTTGTAGGCCTACGAACCCGGACTTTCCCTGACCATGTAGGTCGAAGACCAGTGAAAGATGATGAAATCACATTCTTTATGACGCAAGAAATCTCTCGTCCAATTCACGCAACAAGTGCGTGCAGCCAGTGCTGCTCGCGTGAGAGTCAACACAAAGCGACTGAGCTAGCAGCTTTTGTTGAGCATCAACATGAAAACATGGGACTTTTACTGTTGGACTATGTTCAGGGTTCCAAGAGGTAAGTGTGAAAGATGAATAACCCTCCAAGCTGTACGTGGGGCATATTGTGGGGGTTCTCAGCAGATCAAGCAGGAAATGCAGCTCATCTCACCTCTGCCATCATGGTCTGTTCCGAGTAGGGTTCCAGCCGCGTTCGCGGTCGATGGCCGCGTGTCGACGTGTTGTGATCCAGGGAGAGCCATACTACGTCACAGAGCAAGCGATCTCACCGTGCATCTTGCAATAAAATTGAAAAACTGCGCTCGGGACTTAAGTCACTTTTGCATCAACAGTTGCAACAAAAATTGGTTGCGCAAGGGGAAGCTTGTCGTTTGAAGTGACAAGTGACCACCGCTGCTTGTACTTGTCAGAGTTAAATATGCACTTTGTTCTGCGGCCTTGGGAGTAGTGTTGCAGTAGAAATAGCTGAGGAGGCGTCGCGGAGGGGCGAGCTTTCCTGCGCATGTATGACTTGGAACGTGTTTCAGCATGGTCGAGTGGAAAAATTTAATAGTTTATTTCAGCTGCATCTGCCGCTAGGGTTTATCGGGTGTTAGCGGCCGTCGTGAGTTCCCTTCGGGAATGGATACGATAATTTACTTCTTTTATTTCAAGAAAACCCCAAAAGGAACATGGGGGACATGTTCTCAGCGCTACAAGAGATGTTCTACTATCTGCAAGTAGTATAGTTCTGGTCAATTGAGGATGTAGCTGGCTGTTTTGCCAGCACTTGTAAATTGGCTATTTTCAAGACGATCATTTGCGGCGTCAGGGGGTGATGGATCGCGTCTTCTGGGATCCTAGAGTGGCTAAGGGGTACTGCTCCAGGAATTCTAGACCCATAAATGATGTGATATTTCGGCCATCTTTGAGGGGTATGCAAATTTCAAGGTTCTCTTCAGAAACTTTTTCAAGGGCTTTGTACAATCGATCCACACCCCAAAGGGAACCTACCTGCAAATTTAGAGCAGAATCGAAGAGATCCACTTGCATACATACTTCGTGTGTTCAGACATGTTCCCCTAATAAAAGAATTTTCACCCTGCGCATGCGCCAAGCGTAAATTACAACCAAAAGAATCGGTGGTCAGTTGACGAACCTCTACTACTTCTAAGTACTACTAACATTGCTGACAAGAAATCCAATCTTTACTTACCAGAACATGGGCGAACACAGGCTGGAGCTGGATGAGACCAATTTCCACCTTGCAAGCACACTGTTGTTGGTGAACCCATTATTATGTACCCGTCAGAACAGGAGTACATTCTTGGAATGCCGATGTCTTCAGTCCCTGTGTCTATCCGCCCATTGGCTGGAGCGAGTAATCTAGGGCATGAGTTCGTGCCGTCTGTAAATTCAGATATGTTGGGAGCAAAATGTGTGTGCGTGTGTGTGTATGTGTGTGTGTGTGTGTGTGTGTGTGTGTGTGTGTGTGTGTGTGTGTGTGTGTGTGTGTGTGTGTGTGTGTGTGAAGATGTGCGGCCGAAAAAAAGGTTCCATTTAGCACAATTGTTCGGCGTCGATTTGCTAAGTAATCCGCACTAATTGTCCGAAGGTACTACCAACCAAGAGAGCCCGAAAGCTGTGGGCTCTCGCTATGCCTTTTGCCTAGATCATCGTGCATCATGCGGTAGCAAAAAAAAAAAGTTGCATAAGGCTGAAGTAAACGGCACCAATAGACACCGCTTGCACTTTGGAGTGAATAAATTATTCGTGATATTTATTGCATTGAGGCTCTATATACTGGTCGAATAAATTACTACTTGCTATTGAGAAGTGAAGTTTAAATCCCTACTTGGCTAGTTTTGACGTAGCAAGGCTCTTTTAGCTAATAGAGAAATGTTCCTGCCCCAAACCTCTATGTATTCACAGGAACATCTCAATACCCAGTAAAAACTTCGCCCATGAAAAGCGAGTGGGTGTCAGACAAGCACAGAAGTTATGAAAAGTAATAAATGGCCTTGACTAAATGGCCTTATCAAACTTTGTAGCGTATGACTGTGCACGAAATTCCAGTCAAGAGAAAAAGGAACGTATAGTAATGGGTAGTGATTGTTATAAAAAAACTAAAAATACAGAGGTATATTATATACGCTGCTAGAGACATATTGGCTATGTGTTCTTCACCGTGCGATGTCCGTGTAACATGCCCCCCCCCTTCCCCCTCACCCCCCCCCCCCCCGCCGGCGGCCCTTTATGTGCATTGGACGATATCTGATGATGATCTGACTTAGCAGAAATTCAAACTTATTGCCCTCCACCATCTGCTTAGGATGGCATTGGATTCCTGATATTATGCCAAGTGGTTATCTCATACTCACCTGTACACACTGGGTTGCTGGACCAAGTGCCATTCGCCAAACACACTGCTGTCTGATCACTGCCCAGCTCATATCCAAGATTGCAGGTCACGGTACGCACACTGCTGACAGTGTTTCCTCCTTCCGAGACCTTTCCATTGGACACTTGCAGAGAACCACACTGCACAAGTCCTGCACAACAAACCAGCACAGAAAACTTTGCTATATAGTGGTAGTGATTATCGTTAAGTTGCTCCGAAAAGGATAACTGCTGAGAAAGTATGCTTTAGAAATAGTTTGTAGAAAGGGGCAGCAGCGTCGCCGCCATTTGTACTCTTTGGATTCTATCCAATGAGGTGCTTCAGCCCATCATTGCTGTGGTGGACTCGTTAACAGATTTCCGAAAAACATTTTAACTGAATTTACTACATGATAAAGTGTAGTGGTTCCAGGAGTCAGAATTCAGACTGCCTAATCACGATGGTTTTGGAACATTGCCTGCTGCTGTGCACCGGTCGACTAGTCTGCTTGCGGTACATTTGACCATATTGCACTGACATGTAATCCAGGTAGTCGTACAACCCAAGTTGCGGTAGAAGGTGGACGTTCCATGCATATTGGGACCATGTATGCTCATTTGTTTGCTAAACGTGTAGTTTGTCACCATGACCAGCAAGGTGATAGTTAGTACCAAACTGAAGCAGCACAAGAGTTGCAACAATCGGCAAAGGGTAAAGGTGGACTGTAAGCTGAAGTTGTTTTACTAGAAATTTCACGTCAACACTTTGCTGCTTGGGACCATGTCACATCCCTTCTTCCCTCTGTACCATCTCGACCAACCACATATTACGTTATCTCCCTCCTCAACTAGCTCTTCCCATGTTGTGCCTACTATGTCTTCTTCACAGATTCTGCCTGAACAGATGCTCATCAATTATGTTCTTGTCCTCTATCTTAGTCCAAATCCTGCCTTGCCCATGCATGACTCTCATGAAATGCCTGTACTAAATAGTCTATAGAAAAAAGAATATTGGATATCATACTTCTCTCATCAACTGTGATAATACCCATTTCATACCCCTCCCCTTCATAAAATTATTAATTCCTACCGTTTTCTTTCCTTTCATTTCATCTTCTTTTCCGTTCCTTTCTTCTTCATACACATTTTAAACATTTTTATTATAATTATTGGGAGAGCCGTGGGCCAATAGCCCAGGTGAGAAGGCAGTCTTGCCTGTTCATATGGTGAAGTAAAATAAAGAAACAACAATAACACATGTACACTCCACACCCCGTACGTTGCCTATGACACGATACAGTGTGGTTCCCTTTCTTGTCACCCAACAGTCTGGTCCCTCCGATCTATCAATGCCCTTTACTTCTACTGAACAGCACGCCTTCATCTAACTGACGTATGGAGTTGACAGAATATTAGCAATAATAAGAATTGTGACTAATTATTGCAGTAACTGAAGTAAACATGGCCTAGAGTGAGTACTATAATTGGGAAAGAAGGATAATCTGCCTACAAAGCGAGGTTTCTATTAGAAATTATTATGGGAGAAGTTATCTTTTAGCTAGTCCTGATTGGTGCAACTTTTTGGTGCAACTTTTCTCATGATTATTAATTTATTTTCCTGCAATGTTGTGTGCATGGCCATGAACAATCCTAAAAAAATCTGTGGGTTCGTCTAAGACCATGATTGAGAAACGAGAGGTACCAAGTTCAAGTCCTGCTTCGAAGCGGACGATATTTTCCAACCGTGCTGCGACCCACAGTTAATTGGGAACTCGTGGCCTGGCATGAGTAATACGTGGATGTGGCAAATGGGATCGAGGCTTTTGGCCTCTGGTTGGTGGATCTGATCTATCCTCCCCCACCGTTTAGGAGCCGCATCTGACGCCTGAGCATGGGGTGGTGGCGTCCACGGAAGCAGAAGGGTGGTTCTTGACCAGGGAGTTGTACGACTCTTTGTTCTTACGCCAGCCCCGTCAATTTATTCTAATGTCCACTACCGGTAACCACCCTTTGAAAGAAAGAAGACGAAACCTTTAGCAGTAACCAGCTTCTTGTGATGGTCTTGTCAGTATCATTGGGGTGTGCCAATACCGTCCAGGCATACTGTTACAGATATCTTATGTCTGCAAAACAAATCTCCTGATGACGTGACTGGTATGCGAAATCAAAAGCCAGGCCGGCGATCATGGTAACATGAACATCCATGGGATATTTTGCCCGCCCGCACTAGAAGAGTTCAAGTCTTTCAGCGAGTAATGTCAGGGCTCACCACGACCGTACAAAACTAGGAACCAACTCTCCCTTCCTCTAGCCCGCTCTTCTGCATTGCTGCACTCCCCCTATGTTCAAACTAGGAACCAACTCTCCCTTCCTCTAGCCCGCTCTTCTGCATTGCTGCACTCCCCCCTTTTCAATGGCTATTAGCATTGGCTTAAGCTGCACCAGGAGACAAAGGGCCTTTCTACTTTAACAGCGTTCAGGAACGCCTTGCTTTACCGGTAGACCACAATTTTAGTCCGTATTTGCTTTTTTCTTCTTTTCCTTTTCTTTTTGACTTCTTACTCTTTTTCATGTTAGCCATGGTTGGCTATAAAAACCCTGCAATCGCCACGCAAAGTGGTCATTGGCTACCCCAGCCAAGTATTGCTCGGAATAAATAAAGCGTAAATAACGGTCATTTGGATTTGACCAATCAGCGCACGGCAAACCGGGCTGTTTCTTGCAATTGTGGGGTGTTTTCTGAGTGGAGCTTGGCTGTATTCGTTGGTTTTAGACATTAGGCCATTGTGGATTCGTGTTCAGAAGGTTTGTCTTTGGAGGGTTCCCGTCTCGAATTTTTCGATATGGGCTTTGTTTAGCTGAGATAGGATGGTGAAATCACTCAAACTTCGAAGGCTTGCGAACAAGTGAATGAAGAGAAAATTAGAAATCGGGGACGGTAAACCGATAGAGAATTCCAAGACCTTGAAAATGAGCTATCGATGGTGAGAATCGGCCAAGGAAAACCGCTGTTCTACTTGTCCTTTTTGGTTAGAAATTTGTCGAAACACATCTACTGAAGAACCTCAGCCAAGAAAAAGTTCAATATTCCGATTCTAAGCGGGTGTATACACCAAAATACAAAATGTACTCCAAGTTGGTGTAATCTATGTACACGATGTATATGTACAATGACTATTCAGCATTCGAAGGTGGGTAGGCAGCTTGAACACTTTTTGAAATGGCTATAATAACAAAGAATAGCTGATGAGTGCGGAGAAATGATCGACATATTCGCAGCTACATCCTGCGTTGAGTCGTTCCGCAATCTCGTCTTCGATTTCTTCCTCCACAGCTGAAGACACAACGTTGCTGCCGTCACTAGCCCGAGCCTCAGAATTATTTATCTCAGGTGATGACACCTCATCCTCCGACTCTGACGAGTCATCAGCTACCTTGAGCCGCATCACAGCAGGAGATGACGGCTGCATTCCGCCTCGCTGTCGACATCGATGTCGGGACCCAAACAACGTCTCATCCTCACTCTGAACTTCAGCGGCTACTTTAGGATCCACTCACCACCAGGCTCGAGCTAGCTGTACACAATGACTGTTGTGTGTGCTCTGCGGACAGCTCTGGTGTCCGCAGCCATCGCAACAAGATCAAGAAACACTGTAGTCGCCACTCGACACTTCAACTTCAAAATAAATCACTTCAAGTTCAAGCAAGGAGTTTTAAGAAGTCGTGCGAACAGCGCGATCAAAAATCGTTAAACGTCACAAATCGACCTTTTTCTCGAAAAGAATTTGAAATCTCTAAGGTTCGTTTTCGCAGATTGCGGCTCATGTGTTGGTGACTGTGTGCATGCGGGCGAGTAAATCCACGTACTGATGCTGGTTGAAATCCTTTATACTCACGACTGGTTGTGCACATCATTGTATTGCGAGTTGATAGACAGTGACATCGATACAGTTGTAAGGATGCAAGACCTTGCTCTTTTCCAAGGCGTTGGCATGCCTTACAATATTTATCATGATTTCGGGATGTTAATTAAATTGATGAAACTCTTACTCTTAGTACTTGTTATTGTAAGATCTCGAAGTCTTACACACTATTGAATACCTGGCAGCTCTGCTATCATGCAACAGGGTGTGGATGCACTGTCTCGCTGGGGCGTGGAGTGGAAGATCAAGTTTGAGCCCTCCAAGAACCAAGCCATGACAATCGCACATCATCGCCAGCCTTGGCAGCTCCCGGGAGCCACTTTCGACGCTACGCCAGTCAGCGAGGCAGGCCACCTGAAGCTCCTGGGCGTCACCTTTGACTCCCAGCTGACACATGCGCAGCACATCCGCACGATCCGCTCCAGAGCACAGCAACGCCTAGGCTTCCTGCGGAAGGCCTCTGCTATCCTAGAGCCCCCTGGCCGACTCCGAGCCTACAATGGGTTTGTCCGACCTGTGCTGGAGTACTGTCCCCTGGTCTGGCTTGGTGCGCCACCCTCACACTTGGCCAAGCTAGACCAGATCCAGCGACCAGCCATCCATATCATCGAATCGGGCTCCTGGCTCCCTAGTCTATCTCTGTGGCGGACAGTGGCCTCACTTGCATACTTGTACAAGCTATTCTGCCTAGATGCGGACAGCCCGCTAAAGAAGATCCTCCCCCTGTTGCCCAACGTCGACCTCAGGACATACAGCCCACCAGCGTGTCTGCTCAGCCTACGCACCCACACCAGCTATCGACTAACCTGCCAGCACGCACCTGAAACAGCTATCTTCGCGCATTTCCTGCCAGCGCTGTGCAGAAATGGAATGCTCTGCCCCAAAGCATACTGCTGAGACCCCCACACCTGGAGGGCCTGCAAGCCTTTAAGTGCCGTGTCCACCGTCACCTCCAGCTGCACCACTGGAGCTGGGCGACTGAGAGCCTCTAGCAGACCTCCCACACCCACCTCAGCCGTAGTGCACACACCGCGTCTGAGACATTGTCTTTATTGAAGTTATTTCGCTAGCTTATATACTCTCCCTCGCTCTATGTTGCGGCACAGTAGCTCCCTTGTTCATGTAATAGCTAGCCTACTGTAACAATTATGACTTTGCTGGCCAAATAGCTGAGGCTGCAGTGACCTCACCAATCATCTCATATTTTTAATTTTCCTTTTATTTTACTTTAACAATTTCGCAACCTCTCTCTCCCTCTCTCTCTCTTTCTCTCTCTCTCTCTCTCTCTCTCCCTCTCCCTCTCCCTCTCCCTCTCCCTCTCCCTCTCCCTCTCCCTCTCCCTCTCTCTCTCTCCCTCTCTCTCTCTCTCTCTCTCGCTCTCTCTCTCGCTCTCTCTCGCTCTCTCCCGCTCTCTCTCTCTCTCTCTCTCTCTCTCGCTCTCTCTCTCTCTCTCTCTCTCTCTCTCTCTCTCTCTCTCTCTCTCTCTCTCTCTCTCTCTCTCTCTCTCTCTCTCTCTCTCTCTCTCTCGCTCTCCCTCCCCACCCACTCTTGGTGCGTCTAGGTGGCTATGAAGTCAAGACCCTAGGTCGGCGGAGCTCCCTAAACCTCACCACCACTGCCACGATTCAGGTTGTGCGTGCTTCATCTAGCTGCATCTCATGTTTGGCATTAAGTGGTCTTTTAAAAATAAAATAAAATAAATAATAATAATAACATTTAGCGTCCAAGCTCTTCTTGAACCGCGAAAAATAATGGGTTTCCGACATCATAAAAAAAGTCTTATCCGTGCACATCATGATCCATTATGCCTTTAGTTTAGTTCTGGAGGTAAGAAGTTGTATAACGACGATGTAGCATTATGGCCTCATCACCAAGAGTACATTACTGTGCTCTTGATTTCTCGGTGGGCTTACAATTCAGGTCGCCTAGCTGAATAAACTGGTTGTGCTAATGGAGACCATAGAAGACCTGTCCAGGCGCCTAAAGCAAGCAGCGTAAACATACGAGCCCGGATCACCGAAAACCATCACTTGTGTTTGATATCAAATTGATAAAAAAGTGACGTTGAAGTTGGACGACAGAAAAGTCGCGGACCTAGACACTTTCCATCCTGACCTTTCTGTCTTTCTTGTCACTAGCCTTTCTTTACACCTGACAAGCCCATGTTTGTTTGTTTGCCAGTTACTAACTAGCTAGGCAAGCCCCAGGCGAGTGAAGGGACACGACTGGGACACTCCACGTACCTGCGCTTTGCTGGGGAATAAGTACAATCGCGGGACGCGGGCATCCCATGCGCATCAATCGTTGTTGACGCCAATCACGACACGTGATGACAGACTGGGATGGTGATTGCTCATCAAGGGAGTCAAGTGAAAGCCGTAGAGCTCCGTAGGAAGACTCTCTCCTGCCGCAAAGCGCTTCGGCAAGGCTGCAGATTTTGTGTAGAAGAAAGCTGTTTCGTTTTCCATACCCAGGCTCTTGGTTTGAGTGGTACTTAACAAGCTCCGTTATGGCCAGCAGGTGCGCGTGCCTCCTAAAAGAGTGTACCGCAAGTGCGTAAATTCTGGCGGGAGAATTAGAAATCTCGCAATCACTGCATACTAGTAAGTAATTGACGGAATTGGAACCCGATAATTGACAGAGAAATTTGTGTCATCGAACGGTACATCGTGGCTGTCGATCGTGGCTGCCAGGCAGCTGCGACTGGTTCCAATGAACCTTTGGTTGTTGTGGGATTGATGATCGCGGAGGCAGCCAGTGTAGCCATGGCGCAACGTGAGTCCAGAAGCGTTGGTAGTGTTTCGGTCCCCACTTTTGTGATCGTTGCTCGCAGGCTTTCGGCAGGGATCATGGATTGTTGTGCGAGGCCAAGGGGTCCGGGCGCTGCAACCTATGGAGCAAACGTGCTCAGGAAAACGGACGCCGCTGACGGAAGGTTCCTTCGCAATGCCGGATCCATTGCGCGAGCATCGGCCAGGCTCAAAAATTAAAAGGAAGCATAGGCAACTTCCTCGGGAACGGGAGTCCTCCTACTACTATGTCAAGGTATGGGTAGTGGTGAGCCTGTTTCAAGATCCGGAAGCCGAAAATGAGAAATGAGAACACTTTTGTTCTTCGCACGACCCAACCAAGGCAAATGTGAAGTAGCAAAGCGGGCAGTGTGAAGTATTGTGTATGCGTTACACGTTAAACTTCCGATGTGTGGTGCAGCCGCATAAGGCTGGTTGGCGAGTTGGCGGAGAATTTTGTGTAGTCGATTGGCGCATGCACCGTAACCAATTCTAAAAGGGATGGACCTGCGTGATGGAACGCGTCCAATGTAAAACCCTCAATGAGGACAGGAACAGTACTTTACGTCCAAACTACAAGTATACACATAGAAAATAGAAAGGATGGCTTGTCAACTGACAACAGCTCCAACCAGGGGCTACTTATGCTGATCAAAACTCAATATTTGTATAATAACTCAGCTGTTTGACTGAGAATGAGTAACAACTGAAACAGTCGTTGTCAGTTGACAAGCCGCCCATACTTTATGATGCAGTTGAATGGAGTTCATACGTTTTTTTGGGTCCACACTTACACGTTCTTTCACGTTACTACATCCTCCGGAAACAAAAACTTCGTGACTATTTTCACTACTTTCCGCTGCTGTTATTTCGCTCTCTCTCTGGTTCTGTCAGACATACACACTGACATGACATTTCTGAGCATCGTAGCAAAGCATGAAGAGCCGACAGTCATCGAAGAGAAAAGGTGTGGACGCTGCAAACAGAGCAAAGTGAACATGTTTTTCATTTTCGTCCATAAGGCGCAATGGCAAGAAAAGCACTGCGCTCACTGCTCATGATTGCTATTTTTTAGTTCAAAACCCGCCAGAGCAGGACAATTGCACCGATGAGCAAAAAGAGTGAAAATGAATAGCAATAACAGCTAGCGTTTTGAAATCTTCGCCATCCTCGAAACGCCGGTCTGCATGCGAACAGGTTGGCAAGATGTCAAAACTCCAAAACGCAGAGATGTGACAATCGTCACTTTGCGCAGCAGAGCAAGACAAACTAGCTCAAAATAGTATTCGTTCAGCCACTTCAGAGCCCAGACCTCAACGTGGATGATCTCGCCTTTTGCAGCAGCCTCGATGATGTGTCCTTGGTCGCAAAGAAGACAAGATCTGATCGCGGCAGTCAGGAAGTGCTGGTACGTCTATGATATCCCAGGGAGGAAATTTCAAATTGTTGTCATGTTCGTTGTTTTTTTGTTCCTGGGTATCCTCGAGCGAGAGCGGAGGCGGTGATGAGTACCAGTTCTGCTGCGCTACCATGGTCTCGGCCGAGATGTTGGAGAAAGCTTTCAGGTAACAGCGAAGACGATCAGGGACGCAGAGAAGCTTCTCTGTGACATACGACATTGCGTCGATCGACCTGCCACTTGGAACGGTTTCAGCGTTACTGAGTCGAGTGATGGCAACCCAGACTGAGACTCTACTCCCACTAATCAACCATGTAGATATTGTAGATACGTCGATTGCATATGTTGAAGTGTTTCTCTTGCAAAAGAACACTTTTGTGGAACACAGTAACTCCTTGAATAGTCATGTCAAAAAGTCACGAAGTTATCGCTTTCAGAGGAAGAAGTAAGGTGGAACAAAATTTCGGTGCAAGTCCGTAACCTATTCCCTTGGAAAATATCTGCTCTTTTAGGCATTCAGCACTTAGTGCGCAGAGAGGACCTCTATAACATAAAGCGTGCTTTTTCGCCATTAATCTCAATGTAAACGTAGCATAAACCTGAGACTGGAAACATACCGGTGAATAGAGTTGTATCTGAGGAGCAACCTGGAAATATTGACGGTTGCAAAGTTTGCCCAAGACCTCGTGAACAGGAACCCGGTTTGCCGGTGTTATCTTGGTCAAACACGTGCAAGTGTTTACACGTCGTGTGAGCGGCCTATTAGTTGACGTGCCTTATCAGGTTATTTCTGTCATTTTCGTAAATGTGGAAAAATTGCAAACCGAACTCCTTTGATCAGATCAAAGAGTGGCCAGAACAACTGTTGATGGATATAGCATGCTCCGAGTGGAAGCAGTTCAAATACAAGATACACAACACTTACTATTGCAAGATGGTGTGGAAGACCACTCCGCACCGGGAAGACACGTGACCATTGTGTTACCCGAAAGCTCGAAGCCGTCATTACATGTGATGTTGCGAACACTAGTCACTGTATTTGAGCTGCCTGCCAGTACTGCGTTATTAACAGTGAGCGTCGGACATTCTACCACTCCTGCCAAAGCAGAATAAGTAGAAACACCATTCACATTGCGAATAACGAGCCTGGTTCAGGGCCAAGAAAGAAGTTGTTCTTTATGAGCATTCAAAGTGTAATTTGTTTGTTGCAATCTTTTTAGATATCCTCAGTGAAGTTTAAAGTTGCTGGCCGACCTGTTCGCACTGACGTCTAATCAACGACACGGCGTGTAAACAAGCTCGATGCGTCAAGGTCTGAGTGCTTTAACTGATATAGGCACCGCGATTTTTTCATGAATGCAGACAACGTTGACAGAAACCGGAAAGAGTGGTCAACCAAGCGGATTCGTAATACTCAAAGCATTTGCGGTGTTGAGCATTGTCAGCACACTGGATACATCCTCCCGTACCCCAAGCATTTAAACCCTTAATTTGTTGTAGCCTAGTGCCGCACCACCAATATTGGCAAATAGCTTTCTACTTCCTCAAAAGCTACAGCAAGGAAATGGATGGTCAAGAGGATATTTTTCGCTATGTTGGAAACTAGCTTAGAGCCAAACAAATCTAAAATAAGCTTAGCTGTGTATGGGCTCAGGTATGTCTGCTGGTATATACTGACGGTACTTGAAGACACATGAGTTGCGGTTTCATCTAGAACATTTGAAATTATATGAGTTGTTGGTACACCCAAGGGTCGCTATACCACCGGCACACAACTTGTTGTCACGAAGTACAAACATCTACCATGTTATAATTTGTGTGCAGACTACCTCCCTCACTTGCAGCACGAACGGTTTGTTGCATCACTGACAGTTTTCTGTCACGAAATGCAGACAACATACGGACAAACAATGAACAGCAAACATATGATCCGCTGGCAGGTTGCTAGTGGGTTTTCACACAAAAAGTGGACTGTGACTTTAGCAAAGGATATTAGAAGTTCCAATGTAGATGGGCCCGTTTCACAGAGAGAAAATAGCATACACTTACGATTGCACACAGGAGGTGAAGACCAAGCCGCGGTGGGTAGACAGATGACCATTGAGTTTCCCAAGAGGTCAAAGTTGGCATTACATGTGATGCTGCTGATGCTGTTCACTGTATTTGAGCCCCCTGACACGATTCCATTGCTAATGCTTAACGGTGGACATTGAGGCACTCCTGTAAGGCAAGAGACCAAGATAAAATACGGTCTCCCTTATGAATTTTGGCCCTTGATCATGCAAAATATATAGGTTTCAATTAACAGGATTAAAAAAAATGGTGATGTAATGATTTGTGTTTTCTTCGAACGAATATTCTCTCGAATATTGCTTCGACGAACGAACGAATTTTCTATAACTTGGACTCAGTAGTAGGCATTTCCCAAATCGGCCTGATTTTGGGCCTTAGGGCTTTTCGATCGCCAAAGAAAATGTCCAAATTTGGCCATATTATGAGATCCAAAGCAAGAATTCGACTCAAAGCGGTTCTTGAAGTCACCTCTCGCAGCAACCATCTGCGTTACCACACACGCTGTGGAGGCACTATAACATCCATTCACGGGGAAATCCCCGCCGAATTTGTAAATTCGGTGCAATTATCGACGATTTCGTGGCAGCCATTGATTTCGGCGGCTTTTCCTGGTGACCGTTTTCGGAAATGCCTGAAGTCACAATCACCTTTCGCAGATAATGGCTACAGAAATTGTATTTGCATGCTGTTGAGGCACTAAAATACCGATTTTTGGCGAGTTGAAGAAGAAAACTGCGTATTCCGTGAATAGATCGGTGATTTCTTCAAAACCACTGTTTTCGGCCAATTTTTCGGCCGGCCGATGTGGGAAATGCCTACTCAGTGGAGCATCCAGCCCCTATATAGAGTCCATTGGTCCAAACTCCAACGTACAGAGTCAAAACTTGGAAACTTTGAATTAACTGTGAGCTCAAAGTTTAGATGGACATCACCCCTTGAGTCAAGCTAATTGTCAAGCTAATTGGCCCTATATATTGTGCTCGCAAGCGCGCACAATAGTTTTATGCGCACACACACGCACACACGCACACACACACACACAAAGTCAAACAACGCCAAGAAATCACCACAAAAAGATTAGCTCCAACAGCCATGCAAACGTCCGACCATTTTCACGTAAAGTTAAGAGGGATAACAAGTAATTATATTAAGCAAATGCATACGTGGACGAGTGCACACACGTTTACATATGTAGTAGTGTAAGAGAGTAACATAGTGCAATAGTCAGCATAATACTAGCACATGCAGAGAGTGCAATATCAAACTTCGTTATTGCTCATGACCATGCAAATGTTCAGCAGCACTCTGTTCCGCAAGCTTCTGAAGATCAGCACACCTGCAACAAATAGAAAGCACACGGATACGCTTATTACCGTAATGATGCATGGGAGCACACAACTACTAAGTTTTCAACGAATGTGATGCTCAATGAAAATCCATCTACTCAAAGACCTGTGAACAGGTAATGGTGGTGAGAATAATCTATTAATAATACGAGGAATAAGATCGGTTGTGCACATTCAAGACGCACAGACATACATGTAGTGTACTCCACAGTGTTAACCATCACTGAAATTAAATTGAAATGAGATGATTTAAACAATCTGTACAGCGGTACTGTCAGTCAAACAGTCTTCCCCCAAATGAAAATGCAATGATTTGCTGTCAAGAGGCAATTACACTGACACAATGTCATGTTGTGACATCAAAACGGTTACTTCATGGAATACGAGTATTATCTTGAGAAGTTTTTCTTGTCATCGGCATACAAGCAATATTCCTCCTACTATTTGTACACCGGCAATGCGTTTGTGGATCTCGTTGTATTTGACATCATACGTGAGAAAGAGTGTCGTGGAGTTCACATAATTATCACAGGGATAAAAATACATTTCTCATGAAATAATATTTATAATTGATGATAGCTAGACGATCATACACGATTGATGCAAAGCCCTTGCAGTTCCTGAGAACTGATATTGTTGTCACGCAACTATTACGAAGTCGTTGATTACTTTTAGGGCATTCATTCAAGCAACATCAAACAAACGCGTACACTCCTTGAGAATGGAAAACCAATTCAAGCATAACGACAGAACAGCAGACCAATCGAAAAGATTGAAAGCTTCCTTACCTCAGTCATCGTCCTCAATGTAGTTAGACAGCCTTTTGACACAGTGGTACACGCAGCTCTTGTCCAGTCAAACAGGGTATCCCGGTGGCGTCGAACGAAAGAGAATGTCAGTGTACTGAGTCGTCAGATTGGAACTGTGCTGAACTTTCTGCTTTCATCCCGGGCACTGTTGGAACGTCTTCAGAGAAACACAAGACGCTTTCCAGATTGGATTTTGAACGTCTCCTTTTCCTCCTTGGTTACCTCGAGACAGACTACTGTCGGCAACTGCACAGCAGAACTGGCAGCCATGGCTGAAGTGAAGAAAGGAATGCGCTGCCACGAGGCAAGCAAAACTGAAAAGGTTTTGTTCTCTTTCTGGCACTACACACAGGACGACGTAACTGGATAAACTGGACCCCTGGACCGTGAATAGGGTTTTGTAGAAAAAACTGTGCTCCTTATATGGGATTCCGCAGCTGGATGGAGCTGATCAATATTGAACGGACTCCTGGACTTAGTCATTGAACTGTATATAAAGTGCTGGATATCATACAGTGCATGGACTCTATTCTGAGTCCAACATACATTCTGTGCATCGATCACTGCACTCCTTCAGACTCAAGATTCATGTTGCATACAGATATCACTCCCACTGGTTACAGAGTAGATTTTTCCCAAGAACAAGCTTCCCAGTTCTCAGAACATACTTAATTTCTATACTATCATCCTAAATACTGTTCAGAAGACCAAGGTTGGAGCTAAATACCACAACCAAAAAGTGACAAGTTTTGGAATTTTCGAATATCGATCAATGCTGCCTGCATCCGAGTATTCTTTCTGGTGTTGATATTTCATAATGTGCGAATAATTCTGATATTCCTCACATCACTAAAAACATTTTTTAACCACCCGCAGACTCCATTGCAGCCTCTTACACATAGGGTACATCCACTACAAGATAGGGTATCTGTAGGACTCAGTGACCAGTCAAGGCCCCGTGACCAATCACGGTCCCCGTGACCAGTCAAACAGTCACAAACCCCCCATGACCAGTCACAAATTAGTTTACCAGTCACAATGCCCCATGACCAGTCACAAATCACCATACATGTACATGTGTAAAGTACACAGTTCGTGACTGCTCGCAGGGTGCTTCGTACTGCAGGATTTGTTGTGGAAACTATAATTCCCTATGAGCGGTCACAGAATACAGTTGTGACCACTATAATTCCATGCAAACAGTTACATGCGGAATGTACAGTTGTGACCACTCTTTCTCTGTGAGTAGTCACAGGCAGAATATAGGTATTTCTGTATTACAAGAGAGATTGGAGGCTTTGTCACAACTCTGAGTTTCACGTATTACTACGATCGTCAGGCAACTGATGGCTCCTAAACGGGCAGCCTGAACATAAGGGGGAGCAAGGTGGGAAATTCTGAGGGGTATCATAGGCGACGGGTATTATAGTGCAAGAGTCAGGTACAGGCATGAAGTTGCCAAGTCTTCAGACTTGGGGCTATGCAGCAGCAGTTCCAGCGTGAATGACATAGAATAGAGCTGGGGACCACACATGCCCACACCATTACACACACATACACCCACACTCTCTCCCTTTTCTTACATACACTCACACGCGCACACACACACACACTCATTCTCTAAATCTCTCTCTCTCACACACACGCACATAATTTATGTCATTCATTCTCTACATCACACACACACACACACACACACCTGGCCTGGTGTACAGCTGCCAAATGCTTAGCCACGCCGCCCCCGAGACAGGGGGAGAGTAGAAGAGAGAGTTTGAGACACACACACATCCACACACACACACACATACACACACACACACACACACCTGGCCTGGTGTACAGCTGCCAAATGCTTGGCCACGCCGCCCCCGAGACAGGGGGAGAGTAGAAGAGAGAGTTTGAGACACACACACACATCCACACACACACACACACACACACACACACACACACACACACACACACACACACACACACACACACACACACACACACACACATACACACACACACACACACATACACACACACATCCACGCACGCACACACAAACACACACACATTCTCTAAATCTCACACACACACACACATTCTCTCTCTCTCTCACACACACACTCTCTTTCTCACGCATGCACACACACACACACTCACACATGCGCGCGCACACTTACTCACACACACACACACACACACACACACACACACACACACACACACACACAAATAGGCAGCGGGACTACCAGCTAGATTCACGTGACCTTGCGGACAAAGTTACAGAGGTAGAACCTGTTTTCATGACGATACTTGGACACAAGTACTTCTGTATTATTATTTTATCTCTTTTCAACCAATCCACAAGCCAAGAAGAGATGCGTAGACGGAAGAACCGTACTCTTGGTGATACTGATCGCAAACATGATTAATTCATCCAGGCCATTGAGCACCCAATTCTAAACCTTATCTAAGCAAAGCAGCATGCCAGTTCAAGAACATCTCGTCAGACATACATATCGATACATGACGTCTGGTGCACTCTCACTAACAAGCAGGCATCGCAGGCTACATTCGCACCAGCAATCAAAAGAAGTTGAAGTGAGTGAATATTTCTATAAAATTAATAATTGGAAGACAAATGAAGGTGTGGAGGATCGCCCAAAAACACTGACAAGGAGACAGTAAACGGTACACAGTACTCGTATGCATGTACTTTTAGTACACGTTATAGCAGCACAACGAGAAAGACCATGATGCATAATGTTGCATCAATAAATTTTACAGAGTTATTTTGGGAGTAGGAATGAAGATGTGTTCGAAGCAGTAAACTGCGTAAGCACTACGTTGAGCCAGAATATTGAAATACAGTTTCCTGCAGTCAAAACAAGACACTCACACTTCTCTGGTCTAGTTCGCCATTCTTATCGATAAACATGACTTGATTTAATTTCTTACGATGGTTCTTGAGAATGGATCAATGATGTCTTGAATAGATGTCTTCCTGAACGACTTCAACTGAGAGGCAGTTTCAGTTTCAACAAGCTGGACATTGTTTTTCTGTGGAGTCTTCCACAAGAAAGACAGAGCTACACACACGAAGGTGCTTGATGTACTCAGTACCTTTTTGGAAATGAACATATTTTCATGTCCATCTTCATTATATTTTCGTCTCTGCATCGTCGACGATGTCCACTTCTGACTCCGTAATCTTGTCACCCATCCTCTCCAAAAACACAAATCGAGTGCTGCTTGCATGCTGGATCAGTTGAAGTCAGTCTCTGCTCTAGCAAGATCGGCATGCAAAAATTACATGACTGAAAATTTTCCGAAATAGCTTTCCTGAACGACAAAGTTTGTTCTTCAAATAATGATGAATAGCACAACCTACTAGCCAGAACGTCCTCTCAAAAGAGATTCTATCTGAAGCCTGCAAGATTTTCGACCACCCTTCGTTTTGGAGAGGAGCCCACACACACCAGACTCGAGCTACAAGTGAACTACGCTGTACGCGGAGATCGAGAGTTGATCGAAATCTTTCTTGCTCACTTCTGAAACCTGTGAAGGAAAAAAAGTGTGCTGAATGCGTGAATGCCTACAGTTGAGTCGTAATATTTTGACGTGGATCCTGTGACCGTTCACAGAGAAAGTCGCGGCTGTTTCTGACTGGTCATCGGGATTCAAACTGGTGTGTGACTTTATGACTGCTCTTCGGGGATTTGTGACTGTTTGATTGGTCACGGGGATCGTGATCGGTCATCGAGACGTGACTGCTCACTGAGTCCTACATATCTTTGCTGCATATGTCACTAAACATAACAATTTTTTATAATTTATACTATAGCAACGTATGCAGCAGAGAGAACGTATTTTGGAATATCCTGTGTAAGGTTTAACGTAGCAGAAGGATGGGAAGTGGGTTTGAGGAGAGGTTTCGTTCACGTGTTGGTGTTGATACACCTGGGTTGGTTATTGACCCACGATACAAGAGGTTACATTGACCAGTTTAATCCGGAAGTAAAGATATGTTACCATAGTCGTGTGCACACTGCCTCCTTCACTTGCTGCACACACAGTATGTTGCCATAGTGACAGCGTTCTGTCACGAAATGCATACAATGTATGGAAACTCAACCAATGCCAAATTTACAACCAGCTGCCCGATTGCTCACTTCCTCAGCTACTTCAATGACTCTCAAATTGAAGCAGGTGTTATGGCTGCCAAGGTACTTTAAGTATGTTTTGATTTTATTTTTTTATTTATTTATTTATTTCTGCACCTCGTGGCATGTCAAGACAGCCAATTGAGTTGAGGAGAGGGTGAGACCAACCACGGAAGAAGAGAAAAAAAGAAAATTAAGAGCACGTACACAAAGTGGGAAGGGATTAGCAACTTACAAAGCAATGGGATGCTCAGCGAGCTATGCAGCGGAAGTGGTGACTGTGACTTTGTTTACTGGGAGATACTGAAGTGCTGTCTGACGAGGGTACGGAATTTGGGCATATCTGGAGCTTGTCTAACACTGGGGGGCAGTTGGAGCCACGTGGAGTAGGAGGAAAAGAAAGGGGAATTTACGAATAGGGTAGACCTAGCTAGGGGGAGACGAACGCAGCTTCGGGTGGTGCCACCTGAATTGAACCAATTAAGGGACTGTAAATGAGCAGGGTGCTGGTCAAGGAAAATTGAATGCGCCAGGGTGCACTGATGGTTCCACGAATCAGCTTCGAGCATCAGATCTAAAGGAAAGGCCCTAAGCGATACCACCGTCGTAGCAGCGTAGTTTTGCATTTTTTGGCAGTCGCATGTCCTAAAACATGCTACGTTTGTCCCGCTTCTTATGACCATCTTACGGTTGTGTAAATCCCGCTAAAGTAACAGGGATCGCACACTTACTGCCTTATTGCATACATGCACGGAAGTTCATAATCATTATGCCAATCTAGCTGAGCTATTTCCAGGTTGAAAATATTTTCTGCTTGAAAATATGGTAACATGGTTATTTCGCACACACGGAAAATAGCAAATCCTTACGATTGCAAACTGGCAAGGTAGTCCACTCCTCACTAGGTAGACATGTGACCAAAGAGCTACCCGAAAGCTCGAAGTCGGAATTGCATGAGACGTTGCGAATACTGTTAACTCTCGTTGAGCCTCCTGACACAACCGCATTATTAACAATTAGCAAAGGGCATTCTGGTACTCCTGTGACACAAAAGATCAAAAGAAAATACAGCATAGTACATATTCTGCTAGTGCCAACCCTCACACCGGTAGGATAACGTGTTTGTATTTTTGCTTGGCGTAAAGTATGCAGTCACATGGGGAATGAGTTGCAACAAATTAATAGTGTTGTCCATCATCACAATACGTTCATTGACTCCCTGTGTTTGTTTGTTTGTTTGTTTCTTTTATTTGAATTCGTTTAGAGCACAGGCAATTCTGCCTTCTCACCAGAGGAAAAACCTCCGGTTTCTGCTAAGAACGAATATAATATTATGAGAGAAGGAAATATTAAAAAGAATCATAACATGATAATTCCAAAGCACAACGTTTGTATATAATTCAAATGGGTGTGTGTATGTGTAAGCATGCAGTGAAGAAAACACCGAGAAAACATGCAGTAATGTGTAGGGATGCCGAGCAAGGTGGTTACAAATTAATTCGGTTCAGAGCCAGTTTAAAGGCAACCGCCGCACTGTGGAGGCGAATATCGCTGGGAAGGGCATTCCAAAGAGTGCTTCCCACAAATGTCAATGACTGACGACCGGAAGGTCCAGGAAGGAAAGGCACTTGCAGTAGCCGCTGCTCCTGTCCTCGAGTAATTCGGCGATCATCCCGGGATGCTTGGCCTGTGTTAGCCATCAACTGAAAGTAGGTGCAGAAAAGAGGACTTGCAAGATCATGTAGGCAACGGAAAACAAAAAACAAAACCTTGTAGTTAAAAATGTGAGTTAGGGATCGAATAGATAAGCGCACGAGGAAGGGGGCTGTGGATGCCCGGCTGGAGAGTCGGAAAATTGCACGAATTCCGGATTTGCTGGATTTGATTAAACGACTCTGCAGCTGCTGTGTCAGCGACGGGAAGAATGCATTGGATGCGTACGTTAGTCGTGCTTGCACAATGCCAATGTACCAAAGTCTGCGGGCTCTTATGGGCAGAGATCGCCCATGGCGCCATAGCTGGCTGATGGCGACTGACGCCTTCTGCACAACACTGGAGACATGTGGCTGCCAGGATAGCTGGTCATCAATGGTTACGCCAAGGTATTTGGCAGTGGAGGTAACAGTTAAGGCTTGATCCTTACATTTCACGACTGGTATGTCGCCAGTGAGTCCCCGAGGTTGAATTACCATGACTTGGGTTTTGCCGGTATTCAGCAGAAGCCCAATTTCGGAGAGCCAGTCAGACAGACGTGTCACAGCCGTAGTCAACGTCTTGCAAACAGTGTCGTCACGAATGCTCAGTTCTTGCCCTGTATTCGTTGTCACTTCCTTGTGTGATATGCTTGTTATTCTGTTTGTTTTTTGTGTAACCCCACCATTCCCCAACCGCACTCTGCCACGTCTACGCATTCCCATCCTCTGCTCTTTTCACCACGTGCAGGAATACAACCTCAAAAACTCTTTGTACAGTTGTGTGATGACAGCCTAACCGTTACTCACGTCTACTTGTAACCCCTGGATAGTCAAACAAGAGATGTTTTTTCACCCAAATTATTTGTCAACAAAGGTGAATGAAATGTAGAATGTGGGCGAGACCTACAATGAGATTCCCGGGCCCTCCCGTACCAAAATTGAGCCAACGCCACTTTTTAATTTTTAATTTATTTTTATGTACAGTTCTGATCATATGAGAAGATGGGTGACGTGCAATCACACAAAACCGGGCTTGTATGACTCCCTGATGTACAGATCAGGGCATTCGTTGGCCAAAATACAGAAATTGAACAGATAAACCGCATACCTGTTTTGTATAAAAACTAGACACTTAATAAAATGACCGGGAAATACGGTAAAAAGGTACAGCATCGCATGCATTATATACTTAGGAAAAAAATTAATAAATTTACCCACCTGCCCCAGTTTTACACTGGTCCTGCCCGAAAATTTCGATTTTATGAAGTTCCAATGCACTTCACAGTAAATAGGCATGTGTTAGCTGCTCCCGGCTAATGATGCCCCCTCACACCGGAACACAAGGGGTTTTATATGATTGGATAATTTATAGAAGTATTCGAGAAGAGTGTAGACAAGGAGAACAGGACAACGACCACTCAAGACTAGACTACAACAGAACAGAACCTGGAGCATGCGCTCTTCTCTGTGAGTGGCTCATTGCCAAGGGGAACGAGCGGGAAATACAAATAGTGAGTATTCAGGTCGTAGCATACATACACCTATTACACTGTGCCCCCCTAGCTAAAATTCACGTCCACGGGAATGAACGAAATACCTAGGAAACAAACAAAAGAAAACAAACCAAATAATAAACTCAGTCCAGGACATAGTCAGCTAGTCGAGCAGGTGCAGTGCGGACACGGCCAGAACGACGAGAAACAGGAGAAGAAGTACGGACCGGATCAGACGACGGCGGCTGTAGCGGCGGAACGCAGCGCGGCAAATCATCATCAGGCAGCGGGTCAGGACTAGAAGCAGTAACGGCAGGCGGTTGACAGTCGAGAGGACGGGAAACAGCTTCAGGCGGTCGAACAAACTTGCCAGTGACAGCATCATATCTGGTGAAACACTCAGACAGAGCAGGATCAGCACACGGAGCAAGAAGACTCTGAGGCTTGAAACAATCAGGCGACGACGGTCCAGCGGCAGAGGAACCAGGAGGACGAACAAAAGCGGCCGGAGGAAGAATCTCGGCAGCCGGAGGAACATCAGCAACAAGTGGCATTTCATCAGCAGCTGACAGCGGAACATCACGGGCAAGAGGCGGCGGACTCGGCGGAGGAGACGGGGCAGCATCTTGCGGCGGCGTTGGTGCCAGTGGCGGAGACTCACTGTGCACATGTGCTTCAGGTTCGGCTATCAAGCGCGACAGACCATCAGCATTCAGATGTTGGCGACCGGGACGGTGGACGACTCGGAATTCATATTCGGATAAACAGTCAAGCCAACGTGCTTTCCGTCCTCGGGGTTCCTTCAGGTTCCGGAGTGCAGTCAACGCAGTATTGTCTGTCCTGGCAACAAATGGTCGTGCCAACAAGTAGTGCCTGAAATACTCCGCAAAATAGACCAGAGCAAGGGCCTCACGATCGCTAGCATCGTAGTTGCGCTCAGCTTTCGTCAGTACACGGCTGCCGTACCCAATTGGTCGCTCAGATCCATCCTGGATCTGGCTGAGGACTGCACCAATCGACACATTGCTCGCATCAGTGTCCAGAATGAATGCACCTGCTGAATCTTCAAACTGGGGTACGCCATCACCGGCGCACTGGAAAGCGAACGCTTCAGAGCCTGGAACGCCGCTTCGCAAGCTTTCGACCACGCAAAGCGAGCATTCTTGCCTGTCAGAGCAGTCAGCGGAGCAGCACGCTGGGCGAACCCACGGATGAAGCGGCGATAATATCCAGCGAAGCCAAGGAACTCGCGGACAGCTGTGACAGATTTCGGAGTCTTCCAGTTCCTAACCGCAATGAGTTTGGCCTCATCCGGGGAGATGCCCTCCGCTGACACGCGGTGTCCTAAGAAAGTGACCTCCTCCTGGAAGAAGGAGCATTTCTTCAGATTGAACCGCAGTCCAGCGGACCGAACTGGCGCGAACACGGGCAGCAGAATCTGGAGTTGACCAGACAGCGTTTCGCTGGCATTCAGGACATCATCAAAGAACACACGGCAGAATGGCTGAGCCGGTGTGTTACATAAGCCACTCAGGACTGCTTCCATTACGCGCTGAAATGTCGCTGGGCCATTCCTGCAGCCCATCGGCAGAACATTAAACTCAAACAAGCCTAGTGGCGTGGTAAATGCCGTCTTAGCCTTGTCGCTTCCTTCCATTGCTATTTGCCAGTACCCTGACGCTAAGTCAAGGGACGTGAAATACCGACAGCCAGACAGGGAATCAAGCATGTCATCCGCCCGGGGAATTGGGTAAGCATCAGGCTCGGTGACAGAGTTCAACTTCCTGTAGTCGATACAGAGTCGAAGAGAGCCATCCTTCTTTGGCACCAATACTATGGGTGATGCCCACGGACTAATCGATTCTTGTATTATGCCTTGCTTTAACAGCGTATTCAGTAGATCTTGCAGAGCCTTCCGGCGGTGATATGGAATCCGCCTGGTAGGTTGTTTTATAGGGTTATTTTGTCCTGTGTTAATTTTATGAGGGAATATGTCACAGTAGCCATAGTCATCATCATGCAAGATAAATAAATCGTGGTTATCATGAAGTAGTTCAGTGAGCGTGCGAGACTGTTCTGTGGAGAGATGATTTTGTGCGTTGATATATTCATCGATGACTTTCGTGCGTTGCTCAGTTAGCGGGATCGGGTGGGGTGAAACTGAGGAAACCATAGCTTCAGTGTCGTCAATATGTTCACAATCTGTAGGAATTTGATGAAGTTCGGCAACATTGGTATTTTTATGAATGAGTATAGGATGATTTGCATGATTTTCAACAGCCACAACCACACGTGTTTGGTTAGGGCCAACAGTTACAAGACTAGGAGTCACTGCCACATCTGGATGCTTCGCCATAAAGGACTCCAATGGATCTGCCACGCAATCCATCGCAACCGTGCACACATCAACAGCTGCACAAGGCACCAAGACAACATGTCCTGCAGGTACCGACAACTCCATCTCAAACACCACACGAGATGAGTATACCACAGGGTCGGCCACACTTTCGGGCGCACACGCCGGGACAACGCCAGGTTGAGCCATGGGGTGAACAACCCGTGCAGACAATGAATCGTCAAGGGCAACACGAGAAGAATACGACGAAACAGGTACATCGTCGGAGCATGCATCAGAATGAGGAGTATGAGTATTACATGAGGGGGAAGTATTACGCGGAACAATACGATCATAGGGCGTACGTGACGGAGGACACCCAGAACCAGAAACATGCAACGGAACAGACACATCGCCAAACATCACAACACCACGAGCAATATCTAATACACCACCATGCTGCAACAAAAAATCGGAACCAAGAATCATGTCACAGTGAATACCAGGAGAGACAACAACCGTGTGCTGGAAAGACAGATTTCCTAGCGACATACACAGATCCATGGATCCAATGACAGGAAGTTGTGCGCCATTGACTGCACACAACCGCGGAGCAGACTCTAGAGGAGGTCGCTCTGTCAAATTAGGCAACAATTTAGAATGCACTAACGACACACTTGAACCAGAATCAACAAGAGCAACAACAGGAGACGAAGACGAAGACGAAAGACAAACATCAACGTGCACAATAATGGGTGAGATCGCACCACATACCTCCTCGAGGGGCTCCACTCGGACGACTGACGGCGGCCCCGTGTCACCAGTCCAACCTAGGTTTTTGCGTGCGGGCAAGATGCAATGAAGTGGCCCTCTTCACCACATCCATGGCACACTCCACGCACAGGCCTTGTAGCAAAACTCTGGCCACGACCACGGCTAAGCGCACCAGCACCAGCACCACGAGCAACAAAACGTACATGGTCTTGCTGGGGTCGGGTGGGGCGATACAGATTCACGCTCTCCATTTTCGCCTCCAAAGCAGAGAGACGCGAATCAAATCTCGACAAAAGCGAAGCCAACTGGTCTCGCTCAGATTCCGACTTCAGTGGACCGACTGCTGTGTAGGGGTCACGACCATGAGCAGTGCGACCGGGCTTCACTTCCGGAGCAGCAGCAAATACGGGCTGTGCGTACTGGTGAGGTACGGTGCGGGCCTGCTCGCGAGCATAAATAGCACCTACCTCGATGGCCTTTTGGACCGCCGCATCCAAATCAGTGGGCCGAGGTGACGCCAACGCCAAGCGCAAATCCTTCGATGCCTGGCCATCAATAAAAAGTTGCAAAAGCATTGAATCAAGCAGTGCACCTTGTTGTCCTGGGTAGGCTCGACGAGCGAGCCGACGAAGTTCCGTGGCATACCCGTGCTGAGTTTCACTCGCGAGCTTCACTCGCTGGCGAAGACTGGCCTCGTGTATCAATGCTTGCTGGGGCGGCTCAAGACGGACATGCAGAGCCTCTACTGCGTCTGAAAAGTTTATGTCAGGCGTGTGAGTTAGAATTTCGGTGAACATCTCATGAGCTGTACCAACAAGGCGAGCAGGTAGTAGCCGTAGCTTTTGGTCGTCGTCGTACCCACTCAGCTCGCATGTGTGGACGAAATGCCTCATGTACGTGGTGAAATCTTGGCCTGGCTGATTTCCGAATGTCTCAGGAAGCAAGACTGGCTTCGGCAGTGGACGTGCATGTGGTGTGTCTGTGTCCGGCAAACGAAAACGATGGGACAACCCTTGTACCGGCGAACTCTCGCGCTCTTCAGCAATGCTCATGTCACAGCCAGCTTCAGCGAAGCTACGCTCTAGCTTTTCTTGTCTCTTGGATTTCGCTGAACGGCCCATTGTGAAAAAAAAAAATTTTTGTATTTTTGAATTTTCGAAAAAAAATATTATCTGCAAAAATTTCCCGTGGACTCGATCGACTATCGATCTCAACGTAACCTATCGTGCGTAGCGGCAAACAACTAAATTTGGCAGAGACAATTCCAAATAGGCAACTACATGTACTCTACGGACACAGTGTAGCTAGACTCTACTACCCAGCTAGCAGATATCCTAACAAGACACTAGACGGCAGCCAGTATGCACACACGGACACAGAAAATGTTCCGAGAATGTTTGGCCAGACAGGTTGGCGCCAATGCTTGACCTATGGACTCTGTAAACCATGGTAAACAATGCATGCAACAAGAAAACGACGAGCAGAAAGAAACACAATGCAGAAAGGAAAATATCGACGAAGAGAGTGGATGAGGATATGGTTTCACTTGCGTGGGCCTTCGTGGTTCTTCATAGTCGCCGATCTCCGAAGGCGTACATACTCCGCCAGCGATGTAGTGGTGGACGTTTTCCGCTGCCACCTGTGTTAGCTGCTCCCGGCTAATGATGCCCCCTCACACCGGAACACAAGGGGTTTTATATGATTGGATAATTTATAGAAGTATTCGAGAAGAGTGTAGACAAGGAGAACAGGACAACGACCACTCAAGACTAGACTACAACAGAACAGAACCTGGAGCATGCGCTCTTCTATGTGAGTGGCTCATTGCCAAGGGGAACGAGCGGGAAATACAAATAGTGAGTATTCAGGTCGTAGCATACATACACCTATTACACATGTCCCCAAAACAGAAGAGAGACAACACTTACTGTTGCAAACAGGCAAGGTGGACCAACTCTTGCTGGCCATACATATGACCATTGAGTTGCCCGAGAGCTCAAAGCCGGCATTACATGAGACACTGCGGATACTGTTAACTTTATTTGAGCCGCTTAACACGGTTGCATTGGAAACAACCAGCACAGGGCATTCTGGTAGTAGTGGTACTCCTTTAAGTCGACAAAACAAGAACAAGACAAACAGGTCGTTGGGAAGTATTAGATTAAGAGGGATATGTGAATGTCACACTTTTCTACTCGAATAGTAGTAATGACTCGGCACTTACGGTTGCAAATCGGCAAGGAAGACCATTTCAAGCTGTCCAGACATATGACCACTGCGCTTCCTGAGAGCTCAAAGCCTGCGTTACATGTGATGTTGACGATGCTGTTCACTCTATATGGGCCACTGGATACAGCAGCATTGCCAATGGTTAGCGGAGCGCATTCGGCCAACTCTGTACCAAAGAAAAAGAAAGTTATGTAAATTTACATAACATATGCATTATAAGTATGAACAGACACTGCGTTTTCACACATTCACGCATTTATGCCAACTTTCAACAAGTAATAAAAACTTTCAGCAACATTGTTGCCTCTCAATTTCAAATGGACCCATGCATCGATTTTATTTTGCACCGCGCTTGCTTTTGATGGTCTGCAAAATTGAAGATAATGAAGATACTGTGTGACTTTGCCGATCACTCGCAGGTAAGCAACAAATCCAGTGAAATCCAGATGTAGTGTTGCGCAGTGATATCACTGACTAACACTACATCTGGATTTAACCTTTTGCGCCCTGGTGCTAAATCCCCTGATTCCTGCCACCGGCCACCCTGCCATTCGCAATAGTCCCAGTATGCATTTGAAAATTATCTAATTTCACTCACCAGTTTCGTAATTATTTCTTTTTGGTCGCATTGGAAAGCTACAGATGTTCTCTCTCTGATTATTGCCACTAGACATCCGGCAGGAGCAACAGAATCGCCTTCAAGCCTGTTGAGAGCTGCCCTATTGCGCCTGAGCGAGATTCTGTACCCACCTCCACAAATTTTATCGTTTCTCAATTTTTACTCAACGTAGAACGATGATTCAAAGTCCTGCAGATTCATGAAGCTCATGCGATTCATTTGATCTCTACTTCGCATGCGCTGTGCAGCGATGAGTCACTGAGAAAGTCTCCGTTTGAGGCACGCCGACGCACTTTGAAGCGCTCTGCATACAAATTTTCGAAACAATTTCAAGCGTATCCGTGTTTCGTTCTTCGATACTCAGTGATACCGCACCGACATACCACTGGAAAGCTTATTCTCTCACCTTTCCAATGAGCCATCATTCGCGACAATCGGATACAGGACAATGGAGTTGCGACAATTTGAACAGTGATGTATATGCACTGTACAAGTATGCGCTTTTACTTGACGCACATACATGTATGCGGCATCAGGAAATCAGGGTATGACGTTTTGACCCACATGTGCGGCATCAGTCCGGAAAGGGCCAGAGCATGTCTAGGTAAATTGAATAGTCAAACGAGCGGGTCTGTTTTATCAGTCTAGTACACATTCAAAAACATATACGCATACTGATGGTCACAGTGAAGACCTTTCCCCCTTTCTAATCCGTCGCAAGGAGGAGAAATCGATTACGGGCATGAATGCACGCACACACAAGCAAATACAATGTGGGGTCACCTGTGTGATATATAATTCTTTTTGGAGGCTTTGTCACCATTGTGAAAAAGAGGTTGGTACGACTTCGGTGATACTTTTGACACTATTGCTATCCTAATGCCATTACATTTTCTAGAGGACACGGAAAGCCATGCAAAGGAAACATTAATCGATTTCCGTATATTATGTAAATTTTTAGTGGCTGCATCTGTACCTTGATTCTTGAAGCTGGTCTAAGGGTCCAATCACATTGAGGGAACAATCCTCAGATCATAAACCGGAAGTATTTTTTTTTCCTACTTTTCATCACGGCTTTACTGGATACGCACAATGAAAACAATCTGACCTGCACAAGCTACTTTTTGGCGCCATTCGCTTCTGGCAGTCTGTCAACGCCGCTCATGGGCCAGAGCTGCATCAGGCCAGATCTAGGGTATCACTCCACTTCATAGCGCAATAAAAAAAACAAGGAAACTCAAAGAAAGCCAGTGGAAGTTAGGGCACACTGAGGGAAAATTTGCAAAGAACGTGGTTACCATGGATATTTACCGCTGAGCGGGACATTTGAGAGTTTTAATCCACTCGATGCAAGTCAGCTCAGGGCCTCGCTTTTCCACCTAAGATTATAATCATCCCTGGCGAGATCAATGGAACCGGGTAAAAAAGATAGGGCTTTATCCTTGTACCCTGCATCCAAACCAAACCTTCGCATGGAGCATGTCAGGTTGTGCCTTTCATCCATTTCGGCCAGTTTCACTATCCATGACAAGGCAATCGGTCCCTCAGGTTTATACCCTTTCTCTGTAGCGCCCCACCATAAACACCTTGGCATTGTCATAGATTCCGCCCTCTCTTGGTCTCACCATGCTGATCATGTGTCGCCCAAAGTATGCCGATCGGTCGGAATAATGTCAAGTCACTTGTCCCATTTGCCCCAAAATTGCCGGATTAATTTTTATAAATCATACATTCTTCCACTCTTCACGTACGGCTTCCCTGCCTGGTCCACCATTAGCAAAACCCACATAGGTAAATAATTAGAAGTTCTCCATCGCCGTAAACTGCGCACCATATTTCTAACTGATCGTTATATCTCAAATCTAGACTTGTATGCTGCTGCATCCACTACCACTCTGCAACACTACCTTGATGCTTCCAAGTGCACCCTGGCACCTTCAATTTTTCTTGACCAGCACTCTACTCATTTACAGTCCCCTAATTGGTTCAATTCAGGTGGCACCACCCAAAGCTGCGTTCGTCTCCCCCTAGCTAGGTTTATCCTTTGCGTAAATTCCCCTTTCTTTTCCTCCTACTCCACGTGGCTCCAACTGCCTCCCAGTGTTAGACAAGGTCCAGATCTGCCCAAATTCCGTACCCTCATCAGACAGCACTTCAGTATCTCCCAGTAAACAAAGTCACAGTCCCCATTTCCGGTGCATAGCTCGATGAGCATCCCATTGCTTTGTAAGTTGCTAATCCCTTCCCACTTTGTGTAGGTGCTCTTCATTTGTTTTTTCTCTTCTTCCGTGGTCGGTCTCACCTCCTCAATTGAATTGGCTGTCTTAACATGCCACGAGGTGCAGAAATAAATAAATAAATGCATACTAAATTAAATTAAGGCCCCAGCACATGGAGGATCACACCCAGTGTCATGCGAGAATATTTACTAATCCTGATGTGATTGAAAGGTGAGAGTGGAATGTCCACAAGCACTTACTGGAACAAGTTGGAAACGGGGCAGACCAAGATCCATTCAAAAGACAGACCAGTTGTGAATCCCCCGACAGGGTATATCCATCAGTGCAGGAGAATGTACGTTTGGCCTGGAAATCCGCTGTTCCAGGAGATAATATTGCATTGGGTGGTGTAGCCAGCACTGGGCAGGTGATCTCTGCAAGTTGATACACACAATATATAGTGTTGCTCAATGAAATCCAGTCACACCACTCAAGTACGTGCCTGCGGGGTGCAGCCCCTGCGAACACTGTGCTGCAGAATAATACAAGGAGCAAACCTGAATGACACGACTGGATTTCACTGAGCACCACTGTATTTTGTTTTCCAGAATCGCCATATCAATGACCCTACACCTGACACCATTCCAGAAAATCTAGTTTGGTTACGCTACTCAATTTAATCTTTGAAATCATACATAAATTTTTACATACATGCCACAAACCTCATCCTCACAGTACTGTAAAATTCCGCCAAAGACCGCCTGCATCATTCACATTCCAAGTAGTGCAACTGGACACAAAAGAGGTAATTATGGGAACCGATGGGACTTTCTGACGGCGCCTGATGTGAACACTTGAAATGAGAACGCTATTGTACTACCGTGCGTCATTGGAAGAGAAATAATTAAAAAAAAGCAAGGTAAGCTCGAAAGTCACTCTGTCACGGACCATGATCGATGATTCAGGCCGTTCGACGTTGAACATCGCAACAACTGCTACATGTTCTGTTGTGCAAACCCTGCAATATCTTCCTCATAATCTCATCAAACCGAACGGATCCTTGCATCCTGTACTGTGACAGTTGAATCGAATGTCAACTACTTCGAAGTAGGCTTAATTTAGAACGCTTTTTAAATATCCACGAATGGTGCCAGTCCTACACTTTTCAGGTGTACTTCCTGCATACGAAAAAATCTCTATAAGCTCCTGGTATCTAGTAGCTAGAGTACATAATCAGACTCAGTGCTGATCAGAGGAGGCGTCAGGGGGCGAGTAGGCCACAAGCACGCCACCCACATTTCTGCCGGTAGAAACCTACCATGGTGTGTGGTGTCCCCACCCATAGATCGAAAGGGAGAGCCCCAAGAAGGAGGTGCATTGTAGATGACGAGGCATTTTTGGTTGATGTCAAAAATTCAAACGTTTGTTTGGTCGCACATTCAGGAAGGCACCCATTGATATGGTGAATAATGCGTTTAGACACGTTCTGTCAAAGTTACCTGTTAACATCGGGAATCCTGGCGTACGTTAAATTCCCCTTTGATCTTCAACTTGCATTTCTTGGGCTTTTTATTGTTGTAGGTGATTCAGGGTGAATTAACTCGGTCTGTATCTTGTTGTGACTGACACCGGGTAGTCTTTGAACCTGCTCTCACACTAGTATAATGTTAAGAAAAGTGTAACATTATGTATCGAATAGTGCTTGTTACCTACTTGTACATCTTGGACTGATTGCAGACCAGGTCTGATCGGTGAGACACGTAACACTGGACACACCCGTCAGCTGATATCCAGCAATGCAGCTGAAACTTGCCTTTGAACCGAAAGTCGTGTCATCCATGTATACATATCCATTGCTAGGGGCTGATAGACTCCAGCATGTGTTTGCTGTGGACATAAGGGCAATGAGATATAATTATCTTGTATAGATAACACGAAACTTCACATCTCAGCGGAACGCGTTATTGGCCTTTTCTCTGTTCCATGTACTTGAAGTATGCACCATCGCATTTGAATTGCTGACCCCAAATTACATTTCCCAAATATCATTACCTGTGCAATTTGGAGTTGCTGTTGACCATGTACCGTCAGCCTGACAGACAGTGTACCTACTTCCACTGAGGGCGTTGCCTGGGTAACAAAAAAATCCACGCACTGTCAAATATGTGGTCCCTCCCATTTCTACACCACCGTTTGTTAGTGATGGGATCGGTGCCGAGCACAGAATTCCTGTTGAAGACGAAAAAGCAATGGGAAAGCAATCATGGAAGTTCTTCATGTGATCACCCACGCACCCATGAAATACGACATCAGTAGCACCACCCATTCGCAAATAATGAACAGAAGTAGAAAAAGCGTCGCTGCAGCACCCTGTCATCTCCTTCATTCGCTCTCCTGTTGTGCGAATTTCTATTTGTTGGATTGCCCAGGGCCCTGCATTTCATCAGTCACTCTCTACAGAATATAAGTACCAGCTAAATGCGAAGAATAGTAGTGCGGGGAGTATGGTACTCACTTGTACACATTGGATTGGCAGTTGACCAAGACCCATTGGCTTGACATATTGTGTATCTGGTACCACTCAATTGATAGCCTTCCATGCAACTGTACTGACGCACTGATGCAAATGTATTAGCACTGCCGGTTACAGCACCATTTCTCGGTGTTGTTGGTGGAGATGTGCAAGTGATCTCTGCATATAGCAACCACACCCACAGACACTCGGATATACATGTACAACAAAAGAATGGTAACCACCATTCTGGAGCTCTTTACAAGCACAACATGCTATGCAGAGTAGAAGTCCAAGCATATTGCAACAATTTCCAACTTTCAGATAGCTATCATAGCAATGGGATTAAAATTCAGTCATGACAACATACAATTAACTTCCTCCAATCACGTCAACGGAAAAGCTATGTAAACATCGCCGAAGTCTTTACCACTATTTTCTTTACTCATGTTATGATATTGGACCCGATCTTCCTACAAAGTGCATACTGTCGGGAATACACGAACCAACAGTGTGCAACTTATATATTGAGCTCTGATTGGTCCACCCATGGCAAAACGTTTGATAGCGTTCTTCTTAGGGAGAAGTACGGGAAAGCGTCGCGGAAGCACCTCGCCATCTCCTTCATTCGTTCTCCTGTTGTGCAAATTTTGATTTGTTTTAATGCTCAGGGCCTTGCTTCTCGTCAGTCACTCTCTACAGGATACTAGTACCAGCTATATGCGAAGAATAATAGTGTGGAGAGTATGGTACTCACGTGTGCACATTGGATTGGCAGTTGACCAAGACCGATCGGCTTGACATATTGTGTAACTCGTACCACTCAATTGATAACCTTCATTGCAACTGTACTGACTCACTGATGAAAATAGATTAGCACCGACGGTTACAGCACCATTTGCCGGTGCAGTTAATGGAGAAGTGCATGTGATCTCTGCATATAGCAACCACACCCACAGACACACAGATATACATGTACAAAGGATGGTAACCACCATTCTGGAGCTCTTTACAAGCAAAACATGCTATAGAGAGAAGAAATCCAAGCAATTCAATCCTGACAAACAAGCAACCTGAACAGATTATATTCTTAATCCGACTTATTAAAATGTTCGTTTCGCTTCGAACGTCAACCAAACAAATTCAAGTAATCTCAGGACGGAATAAACATTTCAGCTCCCTAACACTATCCTTCAATTGTCAGTTTGTGATGTTGAAGAAGAAATGGCTCCGACTCCTAAGGAGGCAGCGGCTCATGATCCTAGTCGACTCGAGATTTTTGCGTCCAACATTTGTCATCAGAGGAGTCCTGTTGCTTCTCGCGCAACACAGAGAAGGCATGGTGCTGAAATCAACACCCCACTGCGGTTTGTGATTGTCACTCAGTACCCGAAACTCCTGGGCGATCGTTCTCGAGTGCTTCCTGGCGGATTGAAATCGCCTGGCAATCGTTGTTTCCATGGCAGAATTTCAGCAAATGCGTCATCCAGAAACTCGTGCAGAAAGCATCACAATCGCTCCGTCCAGTTTGCTGATCTCTCTCGCAGTCGTTCACGATGTGGCGGCCGCTGAATCAAGATCACAGAAGAGATCGTCGAGAAGTTGATCGAAATAAAAAAACGGCCTTGAGGTCGACCTTCAGCCGCCAACCTAGCTGGAAAACTGAAGAGCAGAAAGGGTGAATTATCAAGCGGATACGGTGTGGAGTCCTCGGACCCGCGATCTCAATGCGTCAGCTCGACCAAGCCGATGCAGGCGATAGACAACAATCAGGGCAGATCGACGTGGCCTCTGGCTCTGCACAGCACAAAACCCGTACCCGTACGGACGACCCCGGCTTGGTCGATCCTGCGCCTGTGCAATCAAACTGCGAGAAGAGCCAACCTATCCTGGCCGTCATCAAGGATGTGTCGAACAAAATCCCCTAACTCAATGCATTAGGTCGATCCAACACACCGACTATTCTATGTCTGACAGAAACCTGACTCTGCCCGAAAACATATGCTCAGTGTACCCGGTTATACATGCTTCCGTCGAGATAGGCCAATACCAGCGAACCAAAGGGCCCAGTTCCGAGATTATGGTGATGTTGCCATTCTTTGTACGAAATTGGAAATTTTGCATGCAGCCCAGCGCTCAGACCTTGACTCTCCCCAATGCGAGACCACTTGGGTTAATCTTGGAGTTCCTGCAGACCTGGTTGCTAATCCCATACTCATTTGCTGTCAGTATCGCCTTCCTTCGCAATCCCTACCTGAACGTACCTCATCTTGTGAAATGATGTCGGATACTCTACGGTCTGTAGAAATCTCATCCGTTGGTATATTCCTCACTGGTGACTACAATGCTCACACCTCTGACTGCTGGAACGGTGACCCTACATCACGCGCTTGAAAGGAACTTTCGCATAATGTTCTCTACCTTCGGTCTCCCCAGATGGTAGATTTTCCCACTCACACCTCTCCTAATGGAACCCTGTGGTGCCTAGACTTGCTCGCTACTAATCATCCCCAACTTTTCTGATGACGATGCTGCCCCGCTTGGTGCGTTCGACCATTCACTGATAGCTACCACCCTTTTCGACACAACTGTAACCCGAACGTCTGCAGGTAGGGGCCGGCGGATTCTGCTCAAAAAGGTGGCAGATTCTGCTCGAAAAGCAGTAAAATTGGCAGAACCATACAAACCTTATGGCGGGCAATTCCTCGAATTTTGCTCCATTTCTTTATCCACATACCAAACATGCACGAACCTTACCAGAAAAAGTACCGAATTCTGCCGGCAGAATCCGCTGGACCCTACCTGCAGGGAAAGTGCCATGCTATCCTGCATGTAGTTCGACAGCTAGATACAATTTTGCGCAAGTGCCACCTTCTGTCTGGGTAGCAGTAAATATGTATCTTTCCTCGCTCAACTGATCCCATGGACACACCAGATGTTGACAATGCATTAGCCAGATTCTCCTCTTCCTTAACACTAGAACTATCAAAACTTCAAATACCCTAGAATTACCGGAGGCATTATATCAACCCACCGGACTTTAACATCCCAGTTTTTATATGTGGATTGGATTGGATTTTATATTATAGTGGTGACTATAACAGACAACAGTAGAAATAGGTTTTTCACTTGACTCGACGAGACCACACGACGCTTGCAGATCACAGCACGAACAGTTCACCAGCCACACTCCGCGAAAGCAAGTAGTAGTATTCATGACAAGTCTTGTTTCGTTCCATGGATATAATAACGGGGAAACGTGTCCCAGAAACAATAGCTAATGAAAACAGGCGAGCGACTCATTGAGTTATTTCTTGAAATAGGGAATCTTAGTTTATTACGACTTAACGAAGAGGAGTTAACCCAGTTAAGCGCATTTTGAATATGCATTGGGGCCTTCAGCAGTTTAATCTGATGGATAAATCTACAGCAGAGTTTGTTAATTATGGTTTGTAAAGGACAGGTTTTGCATTGGGGATATCGAATTGTTAATGGGGTGTCAAGTGGTAAGCGAAATATCGCTCTCAAAATCCTGCCATGCATTAGTTCAACCCACGTAAGCATTCCTGTTCCAGCACTGCACCACACAATGCTACAGTATAAAATGATGAGTAAGATATAGGAGGCGTAGAAAGCCCGACGACATACTAGTGGTAAATGGCTCATGTGACTGTATAGAACACCAACAGCCGAACTTGTCCGGCGCTCTAGATACTCCAGATGATGGGACCAACTCATGCCTGAGTCGAAGATGACTCCAAGGTGTTTGTGGCGGCTAACAAGTGGGATGGGCGTCCGGTCGCTTAGAGTAAGTCCACAGTTGTGAAGCTTAGGAATGTCGACCAAACATCGTTCTTCATCACCAGAAAATTAAAAAAACTAAGATCTTCAAATGCAGAGAATTTGAATACTAATCACACCTGATGTCATCAAAACTATCAGAAGAGGAGACAAACTTGGCCCTCCCTGGCTTAATTATATCGACTTTTTGGGTCTAGTTTTCGTGATTCCCCATGTCTTGAGAGCCATATAAGGCCACCATGAAGAGAACACACGACCGAAAAATTCCCGGAGTGCCCCTTTAACCCAGGTAGGCTTGCACGAATGCTAAAGCGAGCTTTGCGTTCAGTGTACGATACTGGTTTTGGTAGTACATCAAGTCCTTTTTTTGCGAGACTTGGTCTATATTATTTGGCAACCTTATATTGCAAGAAATTACTGTATTTGACGTGGTGCTATTTGGAAGGCCGCTGTAGTGTCACATTAAGTCGGGAGCGCGTAAATAATGGTCTTGCAACGCGCTGCCTTATATCACGCACTCTTAAGTTGCCCATGCTGAGAACTGCCTTTGCCCATCATGGCGCTTCTTTCCAATGTGCTAAGCTGTGTAATGATTTACAACCTCTAGCTTTCTGTGCGGATAACCCCACCCGTTTTTTAGGAAACAGTTACCCTGATCCCTAGCATTTTTACGCTTTTTTTATTTTTTAGTGTTTATTTGAAATCGGATAACTCAACAGTACAGAAATACAACTACAAAGAGTACCGAATAGAAGGCCCCGAACGCTAGTACCGAACGCCAGTACTTATGACTTTGAACTATGCAGAATTGGGCGCCCATCTTCTGTTGCCTCAACTATTCGTTCTATCGCGGACATGATCATCTATCCAATAGTCTATTATAGTAATTATTTGAACAAACGGCGAGGAGACAACAATTTGATAACCGCAATCAGTAATACAAGCTGGATCGACATTTGTGTACACTGTATTCATGTATGGTAAAACTGTGGAGACAATGTGCAATAAAACGATGAAAAATGTGAAGAAATTGTGTAGAGAAAGAAAGGGATTCAAACAAGTTTTCGTACAACACTCATCAGGAATCGTCGTTGTACTAAAGGACACTGAAACAAAAATTGAACTATTATAGAAAATCTAAGTTAGAGAAATAACACTAAGAGCAACAACAGTGAAATTTACAAGTGTGAATTTTAACAATCAAAGCGAGAAATGAACAAAGGAGAAAGGAAGGAAAGACAACGTGATAACACATAACAGCAGTACATTAAACCTAGAACATTAACGGCCAAGCTTGGCCGCACTAAACACGACACGTTACTTGAACAATTTCAACCCAATTATACTATCTTTCTGTACACACAAATTAGGCTTGTACAGACGCTGATAGATAGCTTCCAACACTTTTAACTGTAGTCCATAACCATGACGACCACGGCACAATACAGTGAACGAAGAGTCGGAATACGCACCGCAACAATCAGGACTAGCCAGCAGATGATTGTACACTGAAGACTTGCTACCACGAAACCTACGCACAACACTAACACTCTCACCGGCACTCTCACCACCACTCCCATCACCGCTCTCCGACTCACTGCTCCCTCCGCCGTCCGTTCCATCCTCCGCTTCCTCTGTACTCTCTCTGTCTCGTCCATCTCGCCTGACCGGGTCCATTGAACTCAACTCGGCCGTCCCCCTGCTATCACGTCCCTCCTTTCGCCCTCGTCCGCTGAGTGCGTAGCTTCTGTTGTAGTTGGCTGTTGATCGTCTTGGTCTTTCAATTATGGGCTTGGATGGTGGATTAGTTGTAGTTGCTGTAGATTGCGTTGTTGGTGTTGGCGTGGGAGTTACTGATATGCAAGGTGGGTCTTTTTGAGTCGGCATTTGTAGTGTTAATGCAGCTGTCAGTGTTGCTCGCGGTCTGCCACTGGCAAGCTCCACCGCCGCAAGAACCGATGGCGGAGGATCAGGAGGAGGCAGTGGGACCGGGACCGCAAGCGGCACCGCCCCAGCCAAAGCCGCCGGGGGCACTGACGAGGGAACCACCGACGGCCGGAGCAAAGGCGGCGACACAAGCCGACCCAATGAGCCACCACGCCCATTCTCCTCCACCACGAGCAACACTGACAG